AGGTTCCATTATGTAGTCCAGGCTGGCCTTGAACTCACTTTGTACCCCAGGGTAGCCTTGGATTCATGGAGTCCTACTCTGTTTATTACTGTTGAGGTAGTTATAAATATAATGCTTATTTTTCTAAAGTGTCAAAACAGTTAAGATCGTAGTGTTTAGTTCTGTTACTTATAGTATGTGGTTTTAGCCTACTTACAGCACAGGTTTCCCATTTTCCAATCCATGTGCCTTTTATACCATAGAGTATGACTTGGTACTAAAATATTCATTATAAATGAAATTTTTCATAGGGAAAGAAATTCTTACTAGAGACTAGAATTTTTTTTAAACTAAACTTCTAATTATCTTCTAGTAAATTTAGAGCTCTTTCTTAATTTCTTTGCTAATAGCCCCTGAAAGCAAATATAAATTTAGGCAAAAGATCTAAACAATAAATGTTGCAGAAAAGGTGGCAAGACAAGGAGGAGTTTGTCTTGGCCAGGAATGACTAAATCATGCAGTTTCTTCAGTTTCTTCATGTATACCCCAATCAGGATTTCTCTCTCCTCTTTGTTCAGCCCTAAACTCCTAGATCTTCTGCTCGTTCTCTTCAGATTGCAATCCTAATTTCCACAGTCCCCAGCAGCAACTTTTCACTGGCTGCCTGCACACCTTTATTTCTGCACACTTGTCTTATTTTCCAATAATTCCTGTTTTTTTCTTCTATTTATCACATTTTCATGTTTCCCACCTTACCTGCTTTATCAAAATTGGAATACAAGTTGTTGGAGGAGAGCAGAAATAATTCTTAGCTGCTTTCAGGTTATTAGCAGCTCCTCTTTTTAAACTCCTTTAAACTTAAACTCCTACTTCCTACAAGAGCTAGTCCATATGCACTTAAGAGTTAGCAAGACAGTTTCTGTCATACAGATGAGAAAACTGAGATTTAAGATATTACATAAATTTCCTGGACCAGTTGGCAGTGGTGGCCAGAATTCATAGAAATTTGAAGCAGGAAAAAAACAGAAGGAAGAACTTACTTCGAGGAAATTAAGTTTCATTTTTATAAAGTGGTTTTTCTGAAGTCACTAAACTAGTTACCTTGTGGGGTAATGCTCAAGTTTTTGTAGCTTCTAGTATACATTTTCATAATGTACCTCTCTAGATACATTTTTTTTAAAGACCTATGTGTTATGGTACAACTATTGTGGGGTTTTTGTTTTGGTTTGGTTTTTTGGTGAGAATCCAACTCAGGACCTTGTGCTTATCAGGCAGGTTCTGTGCCACTGAGCTATATCTTTGGCCTACAACTACAATGTTTTTACTTGCACTAGTAAATTTGAGTTAGAGATGAAAAATAAGCATATAATGCAGTTGCCACAGTAGTTCTCAAACAAGATGGTCATGTTCATAAAATGTAGTCATATGTTTATTGCATTTTGAAATATTGTGATTTAGAGGTTGGGGATTTAGCTCAGCAGCCTAAGCGCCTGCCTTGCAAGTGCGTGGTCGTGAGTTCAATCCCCAGTACCGATTAAAAAAAGAAAGCAGTGTTGTGATTTATTACACTCTTTCTTGGTGGGAGAAGGTATTGGGAATCAAACTCAAGACCTTGCACTTGATAGGCAGGCGCTTCTGCCACTGAGCTATATACATTTTGAAATGTTGTGATTTAAAAATTGAGGTTAAAGATAATTTAAGAAATCACAGTTTTGCCCGGCGTGGTGGCTCATGCCCGTAATCCCAGCACTCTGGAGGCTTAGGCAGGCTCTATGCTAGTTTAAGGCCAGCCTGGGCTACAAACTGAGTTCAAGGCCAGGCTGACCTGCATAGTGAAACCCTGTCTCAAAAAGATTCCTATCCTGCAAGAGAAAAAAGAAATTACAGTTCTAATATCCTTTCCCTTTCCCTCTTATTTTGTAAAATCATTCAAAGGATTTTTTTTTTAATTTCAGCTTTACATATACAACAGATTTTTTAATCTTTAGGTTCAGAAATTGAATCTTAAAAGCTGAGCATGGTGGCAACCCTTATTCTGGTAGGCAGATATCTCAAGTCTAGCCTAGCCTGAGCCAAGGTAGAGACATTGTCTCAAGGGGGGGCGGGGGGACAAAAACCCAGTTACTGTTGTAGCTCAGTGGCCCTGAGTATAATTTTTTTATATATACACTTTTTTTTTAGTCTTCATTGAAACTTTTTGTGAAATACTTTATGTCATGTTATTCATTTATTGGTCAGTTAGTGAATAAAATCATTGATCTTCTAGTGTTTCAATTAATTTTCGTTATTTAGTAGTGTATATATAGGGGTAGTACACTGGGCTGTGAAAATACTGAGTTCAGGGGCTTGGGATTTAGCTCAGCAGCATAAGCGCCTGCCTTGCAAGCAGGCAGTCGTGAGTTCGATCCCCGATACTGATAAAAAGGAAAAAGACAAAAAAAGAAAATACTGAGTTGTGATGAATTTGCTTTGTACTGGATGTTTTGAAAGTTACAAGAAATTCATTACAATTTTGTAACAACGGAAAAACTGAGGAAGAAAACAGGCCTTGAAATGAGAGCTCCAGGAAGGATTTCTGAGGACTTTGAAATTGAATTCTAAGTAAGTTGTGGTTAATAAGATAACCATTGACCCTGAAATCTGAAGCATTGTGATATTGTTGCCCCTCAGAAAAGTAGGCAGCATTGTAAATGACATCATGAAATCATGTTGCTCAGCATTTTTTTTTTTTTTTTTTTTTTTTTTGAGACAGAATCTCACTATGCAGTTCGGCCTGGTCTGGAACTCACTTTGTAGTCCACACTGGCCTCAAACTCGGGATTCTCCTGCTCAGCCTCCTGAGTTTTGGGATTACAGGTGTGCAGCACCATGCCTGGCATGTTGCTCAGTCTTTAGTCAGCCTTAGGAGAAATAGGTTTTCTTTTTTGCCTAATAAATGCCATTATTTACTGTATTTAGTTCCACAGAATTTCAAAAATACAAAATGTTTGTGTATATTTGCCTTTACTGTGAAATCTCATAATTGAGTACTAGATTTAAGGATGATTTCATCCTTAGAGAAGCCACTACCTCCCAAAAGTTTTTTGTTTTGTTTTCAGTATGAAGGCCTCACTATTTATAAAAGTAAAAATGTTCTCAGTGTTTAAAGTCTAATGACAAAAGCTGGGTGTTGTGCACACCCCACTCTGGAGGTTTGTATAGAAGTCTACACAAATCAGGGGGATTAAGAGCAGCGTGGACTACCTAGTAAGACCCTGTCTCAACTCCCCCCAACCCCTTACAAAAGGTGGATGATGGATCTTGTCGAGCTAAAGGAATGAATAGGAAAGGAACGTTTTGAGAAAATGGCGCCATATACAGGTGTCTCCTCCCACCTCATGTTTTGTCAGAGACTGAAATTGAGGAAGCGATTTGGCGCTCTGGTGGTTCATGGGGGAGAGCTGATGAGACATAGCTTCTAGGCTGAGCTGCCTGCTGTCTTCATAGGCAGCAAGCAACAGTTGTTTCTCTGGCAGCAGATCTTGTGCATCAGAATTGCATCATTTCTGGGAGAATGGCCAAGGTCCGCAGCCTCAGCACAAAGACCGTCTGAAGCATATAAGGCCTGTTCTCTTCTGAAGCGCCACTCCTCTTCCTGCCAGTCCTCTCCACGGGATTACTGAAGCAGACTTGTTCTGAATTTCTTTCATTGGATTGGCTGTGTATCAGATTCTTGTCTCCCAGCTGCTTCCGGCTCACCTGTCTGATGCAATTTCTTGAGATCTCTGTTTGAATTGGTCTTAAAACACTTTTTGTTGATCTTCTTTGAGAGTGAGCCAAGAAAATATGGGTCTTGTTCTGTCAGCAGATGATATAAACAAGACACTGTCAAAATAATACCGAGATTACTGGCTATTTCTGAACCCAATTCAAAAGACAGGGTAATTATAAACCATTGCTGGAATGTTATTTTAATATCCTTTTTGCTAGAAACTGAATGTCAGTACTCAAAAGAGTACAGTACTAGAAGACAAGATGCTTCTGTTTGTGAATCCAAGAACTTACTACTGTTCTGAGGATTTTGAGGCATTAATAATTGATGCCCTCATTTTCTCCGTACAATACTTACTTCTCTTCCTCCTCTTGTCCTTTCTCTTTTCTCATTTTTATTTACAGAAGTCTACTTTTCCTTGGTTTAATGTATTGCTTCCTTTTGCTGTTACCTTCATACCTTCGGTTTTTATAATTCTGAGTATACTTTTAAAATTTTTCTCTATAAAGTAAAGCTTATTTTCCAATCTTTTAAATACTAGAAATTCATAAAGCTCCTTAATACTTGATACCTGGAGTCTCTTGAACTACTGTTTTCATGTATATGATATATATTACTAACATTTTAGTTGGTAATTCATTGTGGCTAATGTTAAATTTGACTTTCAGGAGAAAACACTGAAAATTTAAGAAGTACTGATCATTTTCTTCTAGCAACTCAAGCCCTTTCCTTTCTGGAAAGTACAGAATTAATTAAAGCTTCGTTTTTCAGCATGCTTCCATTATGGAACTGACCACAAATAGAACTGACACTTTTGTTCTTTTTTGTAGGATAGATCAGATGGGATGAAGGGGAAGAAAGTAGTAATTGAAAATGTGTTCCTCATTCCTTATCTAGCTGAAGGGTAAATTTGGTGTTTGCTTAAAGAAAAGCCTCTGATTTAGGAATGATTCGTTAGAGAAGAGAAGAACCTGGGTGAAGGGTCCCTTGGTAAATGAACAGGAATTCAGTGACATAATAAATATTTACTACTACTTAAGTAAATTTTCTTCCTCACCCTTTATTTAGCTTCTGGTCTAACAAGAAAATGGTATGCAGATTAGGTGACAAAAATTTAGAGTTATATGTATCATAGGATAGTAAACAAGGCAGTACAGTATATAAAAGTGAAACAAAGTTACTGTTAATGTTTGTATAGAAGTCTACACAAATCTGTACATTCATCAGTGTTACTTCTTCTGATACTAATTGTTGTTTCAACTTTTCCTAGGTCTTCAGAACTACTGGTAGATAATTTGGGGGACTTCATATTCAGTGGTCTATATACAGGTAACTGACCCAGATTGTTTTAATTTGTTTTCAGAATTACTTGCATTTTTTCAGAATTACTTTGCATTGTTTTCAGAATTTACTTGCTGAAATCATGTTGCTGTAGTGGTGATTACAGTTGCCTCGGCAAATATTTTTTGAGCCCTTTGTATGTGTCAGACAATAAAGTTCTGACCATTGGAAACAGCAGCCTCCAGAATGTATATTCTGGTATTAAGACACAGGAAAAGTCACAAGTAAACTGTATTTTGAAATTGTTCCACTTAGAGACAGTCAGTTCTTGCCACTCAGAAAAATCTCCAATCTATTTGATCAAGTTAATGACAGTTATAACTACTAAGTTTGACAAAGTGCAGTAGAAATCTGTTGTCTTGGTTTATAAAACTAGAATATTAAAAGAAAATATTGCATAGAGATGATCTGTTAAAAGTTCTCTCATTAACTTTTTGTTGTTGTTGTTTTCTGGTCTTTTTTTGGAGATAAGGTCTCACTGTGCAGTTCAGGCTGGCCTTGCCCTCACTTTGTAGCCCAGGCTGGTCTCGAACTCAGCAATCCTTCTGTCTCAGCCCCACTGAGTGCTAGGATTACAGGCATTTGCCACCACGCCTGACTCCCATTAACATTTTATAGATGTGTTTTACTTAGTTATTTTGGGAAGTAATGAGGAGTTTCAGGGTTATCAGAATTTAAGAAGCCTCGTTATGAACAGATTATTTATGATCAGCTGGCGAAGCTAGTCTGTCAGGATTGTCTTTATCAGAAGAATGCAAAAGTCATGTAAAAGTAGAAGGAAAATGGAAGAACTTATGAAAATTCATTGTTAACTGCTTAATGTTTCTTAAAGTTATCAGCTGTCCAAAATACACTATATGAGTTGGAATTTCTTGGTGACTATAAAAATCATTTATTCTTCATTTTCCTGTAGGAAATGCTAGCTGAAGCATTTCTTTTTCTTTGGTTTTCTTTTAATATATCTTAAAAATTTCTGTCAGGAAAAAATGTCAACACTTAGATTTATAATTTTTTTAATGGTCATATACTAGTAATGTTGTAATATTAGGGCTTCGATACTGTTAAATGGCTTTTTCCCATGAAAATATAGCATGATTTAGATTTCCTTTACTAGTCAAGCAGATATGATCGTTATCACAATTTGTTCTGCTTATCTAGCTGAGCAGCTTCTGCCTTTTTTTTTTTAATTTGAATTGCCTACTAATACTAAAATTCAAGAAAGTTGTAACCAACAGCTCTTAATATTTAACTATGCCCTTTTGAGCTTCTTGGATAAGTGATCTCTGTTTCACCACTTGTAGATTTTAATTTACCAAAGATTTCAGTGATATATACTGCCTGAATTTGTTTGGATATACTGCTAGATTAAGGAAACATTTACTTACTGCAAGATTGGCCCAAAAATAAAAAGTGAACCAGTCACTTCTCTGCTGTGAGCTATAAGACAGGCAGTACAGTAGATAGTAAGTGATCTCCTTTACTTTTCAGTTTCCATTCTAACAGTGTTACCTCCAGTCAGATAGGAATATGTATGTTGCCATACCTAAACTTGCAGGGTCCTAAGTCCATTTGTTGAAAGCCATCTCTTTCAAAACCTGAGGCTCTGCAGAACCTGACTGCTTAGTTTATAGCTATTGTAGTATTCTAAACTAGTAACTCAAAAGTAGTGTTATCTTTATAGGTTCTTAAAAATCTTCATCTGATGTACTGTTAGTTTCTTCACAGTTAGCCTGATTCACAATTTGCCTTATTCTAATGAACTGCTTCCTATATCAAAATAGGATTCAAACTTACTTTAAATCAGCATTAATCACTAGATTGATTCAACATCCTGTACTTTTATTTTCATTTAGGGATTCTTTGAAATTTAACTTTCCTATTGTCATATTTATTTCATCATGGTTCAGTGTATCAGTCATTATTTTTTAGCTTTCTTTGCAGAAATCTTTATTAATGTGGGTCTTTTATATTACTATCAACTTTCTGCATAAAATATTGCTTGTTTTATCCTTTTGTTTTTATGTGAACATAAAACCACTAATGCAAAATCATATGAAATATACTTTTCCTCCTTTGATCACACTTCTAAATCTCTTCATCTACCTGTTTTGAGGGGAGGGGTCTTTTTGAGATAGGGCTTCCCTGTGCGGTTAGGCTGGCCTTAAACACACATTCTACCCCAGGTTGGTTTCAAACAATCCTCCTGTCTCAGCCTCGAGTGCTGGGATTACAGACATGTGCCAGCACACCTGGCTGCTTGACCTGCTTTTGCTTTTTTCCTCATCAGTAGTTCATGAGTCTTTTCCCAAGCTGCACTCACTTATGGTCATGAAATCATCACTGCTTTTTATACAAAATTCTCTATAATCTTTATCTTGAAACTGTGTTCTTTGTAGTTTGTTGTTGTTGTTTATGCAAGAGATGTACATGGACATGCACACTTTTTTAGAGCAGTTTTAATTTCATAGTGAAACTGAACATAAGGTACAGACATTTTCCAAGTATCTTTTGCAGCCACATTTACATAGCCTATCCCATGGTTTATGTTTCTATTCATATTTAGTAGTGTATATTAACTTTAAAAGTACAGTTAAGTACATTTTCCTCAAATTGTAGTTGGAATAAAATGATATTTAGAAAGGAAGAAAGGGCTCTGTGACAAAAAGGCAGTAAAAGCAGTAATGTCCACTCAGACACAAACTGCATTTATTTACAGCCTAGAAAGAAAATTTAAAGACCTGAAATTGTTAGTTTATTTAAAGTAAGAAAAATCAAATAGCTATACTATACCTTCAAACTTGTTTGGTAGGTCCTAGGCTGCCAGAGCATTTTGTCTAATAGGCAGTTGCAGAAAAGGGATAATGTACTTAGTGAAATAGGCAAACTATTTCAGTTTAGTTGAGAAAAATTTAAAAGCATAACTTTCAGCTACTTTGTGAAACACTAATGAAAGCAATGGAAAAATGTTTTATCACCATTTAGCATACATTTAGAGGATTATTTGATTAGTAGATATTTTCCTTTTCTGTGGCAGGATTCCTCATGTCCATAAGATGTTGGCTGAGGCTCTACGGCTCGCCCCCACTCTCAGAGTGGTCAGTCTCCATTAATTGGACCCCGTGATTTTCACTCTCTGCTGTGTGGACGTCATGAGCATTGCAATCCCTCTGGGAGCCACCACACCAGATACATCTTACTCAGATATGGCTGCTGGATCAGAGTAAGTGCTGCTTTCTTCATGGGAGGCACATTATCAGTGTGGAGGCAGTTTTCTTATGGGTAGCTAAGAAGATACAGTAGTATTTTGTTACCCAAAGCCTACCCCACTGTAAATGACATTAGAACTTGCCCTTCTCTCCCATAGATACTGGGGGGACAAAAAGGAATTAGAATGGGAGGAAAGAAACTTTGAAGAAGGAATTTCGGGTAAAACAATACAATCAGAGTTTCAAAGTAGTCATTACATTTTCTTTTGCTTTGATGGATGGGAACGACTGAAATCAAGTGGGTGTCACTGCCTGCTTCTGTAGACATAATGATTAATGGCAGCAGATAAGATGTTCCTTCCAACTGATTTTCCTTGAAGGCCTCTTCCTATGTACTTGCTATTGTTCAACAATAAAGGGACTCAAACTATGTGGGCATGTTGCTTAGACCTTCTTTTATTTGGGATAGAAAAATGGAAAGTGGTATCACCTGTTTTAATATATTCACTGCCTAGAAAGAGGACCTTCAAAATCAGTGGTACCAAACTTTTTTTTCAGCTAAGAACAGCTTTAGGAATTCAGAGTTTGTCGAAAAGCCTAATCCCTAAAATAGACTCAATTCTTGAAGAATTTAAATGCCAAATGACAATGAAGGTAGGCCTTCATTATACAACTTTATATATTATTCACAGTTTTAAAATTTTTAGCCTTTTGTATCCCTTCTCTTTTAAGTTGTCCAATTAAGTTGTCCAAGATTCCCCCTGCTCACAGATTCCCCCTCTTGTCCTTTTACCTCCCTTGTACCCAATCTTCCTTGCTTACAGAAAGGAAGTGGAAGCCCCCTACCTTTCAAGACGAAGTGGCACTACACCAGGATGTGAAAGTCCAGCGAAAGAGACCCAAGGGGCCTAGGGGGCAGCACACCCCCAGAAGCCAAGTCTATTCCAGGCAGTACCAGGGATTAGGGTCTGGGCTGGAGAAATCCTGGTGTTTTGAATATGTTCAGGTCCAGTTCAGACTCTTGATCCCACAGCCACTTCTTGAGTGAGGTGGGTGTTGCTCTAATTCCCCTGTTTCTCTTGCCATTTTCACAGTCCCTGGGGATTCTTTCCCCTTCAACTAAGCAAAGCAACTGTACCAGAACTCTGGGTTGGACGGTATCCCTCATTAATAGTGGTTTTCTTCCTTAAAACTGAAGATATTATTAAAGAGCATGTGTATTTCTTCATAAAGCCACCTATTGTTAACTTGTCTGCTTACTGAATTTCTTAAAGAGAAAGACTTAAAGCGACCCCAAGATGTAATATATAATATTCTGGGGTAGTCTGGAATTGAAAACAGTTTTTAAGCTCATTCCCATATAAAAAGGAAGGGTGGGGGTGGAGGGAGGGTGTTTTGTGCTGCTTCTACAGTTTTTATTCTTTGTTTCTTTTTTCTTTTTTTTTTTTTTTTTTTTTTTTGCATGTCAAAGTAATTTAGTTACACCATTAGCAGAGACTTGCAGTTTTAAACTTGTTTCCCCAAAGTAATACTTAAAATTCTTCCTGTACTAGTAGAAAGTTATGTTTATAGATTTTTATAAAAATCAGCTATTAAGTTGCTACTTTATAGTAACAGTATAATAAGTTTACAGCATTGACATTTAAGAGAAATTTGAGTAAAGAATTTAAATCAGTAAGTTTAAAGTTAGTAGATACAAAAAAGGACGGGCAGCAGTTTTTAATGCAGCTGGTATTTTCCTCATAATACAGCAATAAGTGCCCATAAATGTTGCTGGGAGTTCAGGAGTGATTTCAGAAATTAAAGCACACTGATCTACAAATTTGAACATAGTGTCCTACTCTAGAATTTCCTCAACATTTTCATCTATGAACTCTACAGATAGATTTTTAAGTGTTTATCAATTCTTTATGCCTTTGCCACTATTGCAGGTACTCTAGGATTAAACCTGGTGTTAAGGGCAACATACTTAACCGAATAAAAGAATACTAGACCTCACCTCATGACTAAAATCTGCTGACTCAATTTGCATTTTTTTATATACTTACAAGAAAACTTGTAAATATAATAAAAGTTTTTCTGAATATCCAATGCTTCCCTAACAGAATTGCAGTTGTTTCCTACCAGTTAACCATCTAATGGCAGGTTGGATAGGGTCCTTTGAACACAGTTCATGGAGTATGTCTATTGAGCCTGATTTCTAAATACACCTAGCTGTCATAGAAATTTGACCATAGGAAAAAGGCTGTAATTATGTTTGCCTGACTTGATTGGCTAACAAAGAGATGCAATCTTAATACTCCATAATTTTAGTCCATATTTTAAAATATGCCTAAGAATTGACATGTATGTTAAGGAATAGTCTTAAGAAAATCCTATAGTCATCTGTCAGTACCTATGTATTTAAGCAGTAACCAGTATGAAAATTGCAGTTTCCTCATTAAACGACAGTTTAAATTGCATAGCAGTATATTAAAAATGCTGTGCTTGACTAGAAAATATTGTGCAGTGGGATGGCCTGTTAACCTCCACAATATACATTTTATTTTTATTCCCTAGACTTGCACATGAAGTGCATATGTTCATATTTACCCAGTTTGGAGATGGGTAAGATATAACCAACATAGCTCCATCTCCATGGCCATCTTATTTCATGCAACTTTTCTTTTTACCGCCCCTCCTAAAAAATCCATTTCTAATAAACAGCTGTCATGTTTCACTCCATATGTTTAATGGCACAAAATCGCCTGTATAAAATATGTACAACTCTCTGGAATATTTGTTGATATAGTAATGTACCTGGTAGATTAACTACAAATTCATTACTTTCTTTTAAGTGTCCATCATAGAAACTAAATTCTATTTTCATTTTATTAATGCTTGTCTGCCTTTGGTTTCATTTAGAAAACCCCACCTGTTTCCTAATACTGAGAGCTGATTGCCTCCCAGTGAGCCATGTTCAGATCATCTTTTTCTCAAGAATACTGACCTGCATTCTTGATGTAACCCCCTCCCAGATCCCATCTTATAGACACTGTCAAGTAATAAAATGCATGCACTTCACTAACAGAGAATACTTTCCTGTGTCTAAAGTTCTTCTCCACCTAGAAATTACCTTTGCTGTTATTAATAAGATCCCTTGTCACAGTTTTGGAGCATAAAACTGGGTGAGTTGGATATATATCTTAGCATTTTCTTTTATCCCTCACTTCTCAATTGATGTGCCAAATTTAAGTGCATACTTTTTTCTGCTGAAAATTTGGGTATATTAAAGCAGGAAAAATGTCTTATTTTAAGCAGAGTATGCATTAGTTGATTCCTTAGAAGATCAGAAACTGATCTCTTGAAGTTTGAGTTATACTGGTCCTTGAAGTTTCTAATTTGTGTATCTCTGTTGTAGTTGATTTGAATTACCGATAATTCATTTTCAGTTCTGTCAATTTACACAATTACATTCCTTAATTGTTTTTCAAAATTTCCTAAAACACAACGAAGTACTATTAAAATTGAAGATCTCTTTTTTTTCCCAAAAAATTTGTATTTTATCTTTGGCCATCTATGCCTTTTTAGTACAAAGGCTTACATTAAGTTTGTAGATTAAGATACATTTGTAAATCTTCTATAATAATAAATTGTGCTTCGGTCACTTGTTTTCCACTCATTGAGGATACAGAAAGATCCTGAACCAAGTTTCTTACTGGACCTGCTTAAAAAACGGTCTTAAGTAATTTCTTTAAAGGTAGAATGTTACCTATTTTCCAAATAAAGCATAATGCAGAAGGTACGGGCTTTAGAGTCAGACATGTTTTGAATCCTGGGCTCTCAGTGTGTGACCTTGGGGAAGCCATAAAATCTCACCACCACAACTTCCCCTTCTGTGGAAATGAACTGCTGTTTATTAAGCAGAATTAAATGAACAAATAAATATATAAACCAAATAATAGGCAATTCACTGTTACTGCTGTTAACTGTTTTGAAGTCCTATGGTTATTACCATGCAGCTATTAAATAATTGTTTCCTCATATGCTTGCATGTCATTGGTGGATGAGAAATTATTACTCTTAACATGTGAAAGGTGTTTGGGGGTTGGTCAGGATGAGAGGTGTGATAAATATAAGATGCCATTGTTTTTACCTGTACTTTCTTCAGGGTATCCTGTCTTGGTAGTGAATGGAAGAGGGCCTGGTCCCTGGGGCAGTGCAGAAGGCACTTTCATCATCTCACTCACTGCAAATGTCATGTGAGGTTTCATGGAAGTATTAAGAGATCCAATTAAGAAGAATAGTTCTGAGTCTAAACCAGCCCAGAGTGGCTTCTCTAGGGGAAACTTCCCGCTCAGCTGGTACGTTTGTGTTTGTCATTAGGGACACCTTGTATCCCAGGTGCCTGCCTTGAGACATCTGCCTGTACTGGCTTCATGTTACACACAAATTCACATTCAGTAACACTACTCCTGTTATTTTTAGGTTTAGTTATGTTAATCAGATTGTTTCACTGAGTTTTTTTTCTCTTATTCTTGTAGCTGGTGGTTGTAGAAAGGAGGGCTTAGAATGGGAAGAGAACTGTTAGTTGAAGGGAAGATTAGGTGTTTTGCTATCATACGTTGCTTTTCGCCTTTGTGCAGCCCTGAATCTGTGGAGGCTAGTCCAGCAGTTAATGAGAAGAGCGTGTATTCCACTCATAATTATGGGACCACTCAGAGGCATGGGTGTCGAGGACTGCCTTACGCTGTGAGTATGCATTTGTATCTCTCCAGAGCAGTGAACTACCTGGAGTGTAATCCATTCTTACACATTGTGACTTTCTTGAAATGTTTATATGCAGCATGACGAAGTTGCCCCTTTTGCACTTCCCTGCCTCCAGCGGACGTCTAGCCCTGCATCATTGTTCTTGTTTTTATGTCCCAGTTGACCTTGGCATTTTGTTTTATCACTTTCCTGGTTGAAGCCAAAAAACGAAGGGTACTACTTTCTTCTTTCTTTCCATATGTACCATACTTTAGGGGAGAGAGGGGCCAGTGTTTGGACACTGTTGATTTAAAAAATCTTATTTTCAGGATCATAATTACGGAGCCCCTCCTCCTCCGACACCTCCTGCTTCTCCCCCTGTCCAGACGATCATCCCTCGTTCTGACCTGAATGGCCTGCCGTCGCCCGTAGAGGAACGCTGTGGAGACAGCCCGAACTCTGAAGGAGAGACTGTTCCTACCTGGTGTCCTTGTGGTCTTTCTCAGGATGGCTTCCTTCTCAACTGCGACAAGTGCAGGTAAGATCCTGTTCCATAAAACCCAAACCTGGGTTGCTTGGGAGTAGGATTTCTTATTAGTAGGGAAAAGCTCAAAGTATTCTTTCTTGTGTTTGTTAATGTAGATGATTCCTTAGTGCTCCTTGGCTCGAATTCTCTGCACTAGGTGAGAATTGCTGACAACAAGGAATGAGAAATTGATGTTAAAGCTATTGAAATTGATATGAAATTTAATGTCCTGGAAACATTTGGTAGGTGGGAGGGAGGGGTAGAATATGCAGAGATACTTCTCCCATGTGTGCTATGAAGTGGTGCATGCTATTGGAAGGACTACTTTAAGTTTATTTTCCTCTTTAGGGGAATGAGCAGGGGGAAGGTTATTAGACTTCATCGGCGGAAGCAGGACAACATATCAGGTGAGCAAAAGATGAATTACCCCATATTTTGACATGTAAATATCTTGTAACTCAAATGTTCTCAAAGGAATCCTGAAAAGCTATGATGATCCCCAGCTCTTTTCACGGAGACAGGCATCCTCTTAATTATCACTATATAGATCTGTTACTATAAATTTGAGGTATGTGGAAACAGCATTTTAGTTGGAACTACCCAAAAAATTGCTTTTCTTTAAATGATCTAGTGTCAGCTTGTTACAGATAGAGCAGCATTGGAGCTACAGGGCTGAATAAGAAGAGAAGAAACTGGGACTGTGCATAACAGTTTATTTGCTATACCGGTGACATATAACAAAATCTTGTTTTCATAAAGAAAGGGGCTATGTATATTGCTTTAAAGGTGATAGAGATGATAGTGAAAGGCAGTGACTTACTGGGTATGGGGCACATCTAAAGAAAAACTGCCACTGGTAAACTTTTTGAGGCTGATATCTGAACTACAGAATCACCTTTTTTCAGGTGGGGATAGCAGTGCAACAGAAAGCTGGGATGAGGAGCTTTCTCCTTCCACTGTGTTGTATACAGCAACACAGCACACACCTACAAGCATCACCCTAACTGTTAGAAGAACCAAACCCAAAAAGCGAAAAAAGAGTCCAGAAAAGGGTCGTGCAGCACCAAAGACAAAGAAGATCAAGGTATGGAGGGTTAAAAGGTCTTACGTAGAAATATGTCTGAAATAGCTTGAATTTTGGAGCAAGAGTGCACCAGAATTCGTTCAAGAAATTTGAACCAGATGTTTAAAAGACCATTTTTGCTCTACTTAAAAAAAAAAAAAAAACAGCTAATCTGTGTTACGTATGTATAGACTAACCTCTCTTCTGCCACACCATTCCATCACTAGTGATTCAAAGTTTCTTCTGCTACAGCCCCCATTCCAGGTATGAAATTTCAGCCCTGTCTGGCACAAGCCTGCATGTGTTGCAGGCTGAGTCTAGACTTCCGCTCGCCTCACAGTGTCTCTCTGCATGGAGACTAAAAGCAATCCAAAACTCTCGTCCTGGCACATGCCCACCTCATGTCACTGGATTACTTTCCTTGTTAGCCACCCTTGCGTCCCTCCTCCCCCAAATCAGGAAACATCTCTTGAATGGTCTAAGCTTCCTCAGTGTCATGGTCACTTTCCTGTACTCTCAACTAAAAAGTCTCCAGGAGAAACCTCTTCTGTTTTGTGATCTTTCTTCCCCATCACAGCAACTTTGTTGCTTCTAGGTGACTTGCCTACCCCTTGTTAAGGGGATTGGTCTTTGTTTTCTTCTTAATTTCAAACCTGATAAATCTGTAACATGTAGTTTGTGTTTGCTCTGTCTCTCAGTGTGAGGATGCACACAGGATTTCAATGGTGCATGCTCTTCCCTGTTACCTACTTCCACGTTGGAAAGTATTCGAATGAGTCTCAGAGCTCACTGGCCTGGAGCTACCCCTATTCTTCACAATAGACTGGGAAATTCCTTGTATTTGTTATGTAGAGAAAGGGGACAGAATAGAAGTCTAGTTCATCCCTTAGTTTTAGTCTCAGATGCGTATAACTGTCATTCTTGGTACCAAGTTGTGTTTTGTTCTACTTGTTTTCCTCTTTGGGATAGGCATTTCGAGAGGGATCCCGGAAGTCCTTGCGGATGAAGGTAAGGGGTAATCTTCCCTGATGCTGTGTTTTACTTCACTGTGATCTTGTATTTGGTCAGCTTCTTTCCTGACGACATTGATGGTCTGGGAATCTTGGAATCTGCTTTTTATTAGTTTGTAATTGCTGCCATTCAGTTTTCATAGAGCTTGTTTCCAAAATGGCTTGTTTTTAGCCATTTTCTGGAATATTTTTCCTTTCTGTAATCAGCCTTTGTTTATTGATGGTTCTTTAGCTGCTTTTCTGGGGCGTTACGTGACATTTTGCCAAACAAAACGAGACTGCTGCTGTTTTGTCACTGGGATTGGAGTGAAGGCTTTCTGATAATGATACAGAATCTCTTGTACACCTATCATAATACCACATGAACTTTAATCAACAGTTGTAAGGATAACTCAGTGGCAGGAGATTTATATTACTGATTGGAATTATTGTTGTTGGGAATGGTTTCCTTTTTTTCTTGGTGTTCCTATTTGATAGAGAAGACTTTGTGATACATATGTGCTTTTTCAGTTAGCAAATAAGAGTTCATAAGGCATGCTTTATTTAAAGAGGTTGGAGAATAGAGAAATTATGTGTAATGTTTTAAAAGGACTGTTAGGTACTCAAAAGTTTGCTGAAAGGAGATTTGATTATACTGTGTAGTACCTTTTACCAGTGTATATATATGAAAGAGAACTCCTATCATTACTCATGGCTTCAAAGGATTCAGTTAGAATTTGGTTCTGTATCATGAGGGAAAAGATAGATCCTTCCTGTTGACAGTTATATAGGCCAAAGTCTTAACAGATGTGGTGCACCAATATTACTTAGTAATCAAAAGTTACAATTGATATTTTATTTAAAGTTTAAAGGCCTCACCTTGTGTAAATAGGAGAAGACATAAGACCTCACATGCAGGACTTCAGAGGCCAGGGCTATGCTCTGAAACACAACTTAATCATGAATGCTTTGCTTATAAACCTGTATCCTGCAGATAAACAAGTTTGCATTGACTCCCTTCCCACCTCTACTTTGTTAAATAGGGCTCCTAAATGAACACTCAGGGACAAATAACCCTGATCCGAGCTGCAAAGGCATTTTCGGTTTTATCGATCAGTTACTGTAATTTATTCCCAAAGATTCAGAATGTTTTGTAAGCTATCAGGTGGCTTTCCCAGATAACTGTACATGAATCCCAAATTTTGGACAGCTTCCAGAGAATTTTCTCCCCACAGACATGTTTAGTACGCACATGCCACTCCATATTAGTATTGTTGTCTTATAATTTTAAAACTCCACCAAAGATCCAGACAGGGCTGTAAGAGTGTGAGCCTTTATAATTTGGATTTTTCATCTGAAAACCTAGCTCTTTACTATTGAAAACTTAACTCTAAACCATTGACATTTTGGACCAACTAATTCTGTGTTGGTGGGGAGGTTGTCCTTTGTATTTGAAGATATTTAGCCATGTCCTTAGCATCTATCCACTAGTCCACTACACACACAGTTGTGATAATAATGTCCTCAGTATTACCCATTATCTCCCGAGAGCAAATAGCCTCTTGTGTCCCCAGTTGAGAACCTCTGTTCTAAACCCACTGAGGTGGAGTCTCCACTTTGCTGAAGGATGGTGGAACTGCAGAGTAAACACAGTCAAATTAATAAAAATTAAGCCAGGGGTGGTGGTATACACTTGTAATCCCAGCACTTGGGAGGCTGAGGCAAGAGAATCAACATGAGTTTAAAGCCAGCCTGGGCTACATAGTGATTTTTTAAGTTCAGCCTGATTTACATAGTGAAACCCTGTCCTCCAAAAATCAAAAAGGAAGGAAGGAAGGCTAGATGAGTTAAAAACTGCTAATTCTATAGTATAGGCTTCCAAAATGCAAGAAGTTAAACAATTCGTGAATTTCACAGTTGATACTAGATCCTGAAATTGGGAATATTGTTTGTATACCCTTAATCCTAGTCTTGTCAAGTACACTGAGATCTCGGTTTTGCATTTTCCTTTTGTTCAACTGCTACTATGTCCAACTACTAATACTTTTGTTTATGGTGTGTTAGTTTTAGGTGTTTCTTAGTCTCCCTTTATTATTTAGTCTTTCAGACTAGTAAAAAAGCATTAAAGTATGGTGTTAACTTCAGGGGTTTTTTACATTTTCCTGTTCCTTGAAAAAAAAGAAAATAGGCAACAATTGCCAGCATAGGCATCATTGCTCCCTTTGCCATTCTAGAGAAGTATGCTAATTTTGTCAGGCCTGTTTTTGAAATGGACATTGTTTTTCTGGTAGTGTTGGTTACTACAGTCTTTTCCTTTTAATCATCACTACCAGTGTTGGTTTTCTGGTGGCCCCTCAAGCTGTAGAGTAGTCGAGAAATGCTGTTGCTGAGATGCAGTAATCTCAGTACTGTCAACATAGAGGGAAATGCTTTTCCTGGAGGACTGTAGCAAAGTACTTAGCTCTCAGACCTTTCACCTCTGCCTACTCCCCTCTTCTCACGTCACTTTAGATTATTTGGAAAGTAACTATATAAATTGCCTAAATTCTAACAGGAATATACTCCAAAATGGTAACTTTTTCTATAGGTGATGATACTATAATTGGTTGGTTGATTGGGATCACATGTATATTTATAGAATGAACAAATATTAATGACAATAAGTGATACAAAAAAAGTATTCTCCTATAAAGTAGTAAAACAAACTAGTTTGTCCTAGCAAACTAAAACGGATGGCTTTAATGAATATTGAACATTTAAGCAATATGACTCAAGGTGGCTGTAGTATCCCTTTTTATAAAGGTTTTATGAACTGATACCATTCTTCCATTAAGAAATTTTATGTTTGTGTTTTGAAAATGGTCATAAAATAGTTGATAGGATGGAACTATGCCCTAGATTATTTTTGTATTTTATAAATGGGGAAACTGAACATCTTTGCTTTAAAGAGCTTGTATAAGACCTCACAGCTCAGTAGTAATGAAACTGTAATAAAAGCCAGATCTCCTGACTCCCAGTCCATTATTCTTTTATGCCACAGTGAGAACAAACTTTCTTTGGAAATTCAGCCTCCTCCCCAGCCCCTCTGTCCTGTGCATTTTCATGCTTGGACTCTACTAACCTGTTTGACTTTTGTTCTCTACAGAATTCGCCCTCTGAAGCACAGAATTTAGATGAGAATACAACTGAGGGCTGGGAAAATCGGATAAGACTATGGACTGATCAGTATGAAGAAGCTTTCACTAATCAGTACAGTGCAGATGTACAGAACGCCCTTGAACAACATCTACATTCTAGCAAGGAATTTGTGGGAAAGCCTGCTATTTTAGACACTATTAATAAGACTGAATTGGCCTGTAATAATACAGTTATTGGTTCACAAATGCAGGTAAGAACCAATAGGTTAAAGACTCTTTAAGGAGTTGGGATTTTTTTAGAATTCAGGAAAAGGACATGAATTGGAATTACTGTTTCTTCCAAAGGTAATAGGCCTTACAATAACAAATTAGCCATCTCTTGATCATCTTAACCTAAAAACAGTTTATATTGACTGAATTGCCTAGATACATATTTTTCAACTATTAATCGAAAGTAAAAGAAAGTAGAAATTTTGAAAGAATTGTGAAATACAAAGGGTTATGAAAGATAAATAGAAATCTGATTTCATTTTTATACTGTCTGAAAAGTAGAACTGCTAAAATCTTTTGTCTCTTTTGAGATAAGATCTCACTATGCAGTTCAGGCTGGTCTTGACTCATTTCATAGCCCAGGCTAGTCTCAAACTCGCAACAATCCTCCTGACAGCCTCTGTGTACTAGGGTTATATGCCACCACATCTGGCCAAAATCTTATTCGTGTGTTATTCTTTGATCTTGCCTTCTCTTTTGTGGGTGGCAGGTTTACTGGACAGCATGTTTCCTAGAAAAATTGAGGTTATAATCAAGTGTAAAATTTTCCGATAATTGAGCAATATAACATGCATAGATAAAAACTGAAAATGTTGGTAGCTTTTCATCAGCTGTGTCTACTACCTGTTCTTACTGTTATTTGATGTTCATAGTCTGGTTTTGTTCAGTTACAGCTGGGAAGAGTCACTCGAGTTCAAAAGCACCGAAAAATCTTGAGAGCTGCAAGAGATCTGGCTCTGGACACTCTTATCATAGAGTATCGTGGGAAAGTCATGTTGCGACAGCAATTTGAAGTCAATGGGCATTTCTTCAAAAAGTAAGAATGTGATTCATTGAGCAGTAAGGGTTAATATTTTGGCAGACCACTACTGCTGTAAAAATCATCCTGGTTGATAGGCTGCTCTTGGGAAAAAGATAATTCAAATAAGCTCATGCCTATCTGCTATTTGTATAAAAGTACAAATCTGTAAATTGTTTAATGTATAAAGTGGTAATGATTCCTTTCCAAGTCCAGCATTCCTTGCTTTGTATTTGTCCTTTAGTCAAAAACAGACGAGCATGTGATGTTTAGGCGTTGCAAAGGACACTTACTACTTCTGTCTGCATGTGCTGCATATTTGGAATCTTGGGGTGGCCTTTTTGTTTGTGTTGAGAACTACAGGAATTTTAATTGTATCCCTAGACCATATCCCTTTGTGCTCTTCTACTCAAAATTCAATGGTGTAGAGATGTGTGTGGATGCCCGTACTTTCGGTAATGATGCACGGTTCATCAGAAGATCATGTACACCGAATGCAGAGGTAAGATATCTGTAACAACTTGCATTTGAGTGGAACCACCAAAGGACAAGCTTACTGAAGAAGCAGTCTGAGAACTTCACACAGATAAAGGTCTGTAGCTAACAGTTGTGATCTTTCATTGCAAGAGATGGAGAATAAAAAAGTAAAGATGGTTTTTTATACTGATAATATGGGAACAAGGAGTGGACTTTCTGTAGAGAATGCAGACATGGGAGAATATGTTAGCATTTGCTAAAAGAGCTGAAATTGGATAAGAAGTAATAAAATTATATTAAAGACATATGATAGAAGATGACATTGGATTCAACCAAGCTATTTGGTTTTGGTTTTATAGGTTTTAGGAAATAGTGTTATAAAAAGAGATTCTAGACATTTCCAGAATTCATTATGTAGTACCCAAAAACCACAGACCTTTATAAGCTAAAGAATTTTAATTCTCTGGTGGAGCTCGAAACACTTATAAAGTTAACAACAGTGATTTACTGCATCTAAAGGCTCTCTTTCTGAAGAAATATCCTAAGTATAGAGGCCCTTAATGTGTAATAATTTCGTATGTGATGATCAAGTTAAACAACAGGCTGCTCTAACTAAATGGGGAGAAATCATTTAGGTAAAAGGTTTTTTCCTTTTTCTGCAGAATTACAAACTTTATGACAAATCTAATCACGAGGTTTGTTCCCACAGGTGCGACACATGATTGCAGATGGAATGATTCACCTGTGTATCTATGCTGTGTCTGCTATCACCAAGGATGCTGAAGTGACCATTGCATTTGATTATGAGTACAGTAACTGGTAAGAACTCAGAAACCTCTCCTAACATGAATGGACTTGTCTTAAATATTAAGCTGTTTGAATCTATTTAAAATCTGCTTTTGATCCTTGCTTAATCTTTTTGTGAATAATGTGTGTTCTGCCTAGAAATTGTGACGAAAAATCAACCTAATTGTTTTTGATTTTTTGTTTTCCAGAGATTTAGGTACATTGTATCATTTTAAGATACAGTTCCAGAGTTTCAGCACAGATGGTGGTTCATAGGCTTTTTTTTATGGTTTTTGTTTGGATTTTTTTATTTTGGGGGGTTTTGTGATAGTGGTGGTGATATGTACTGCAAGTTGAACCCAGGTCCATCACCAACCCTTTTTAATTATTGAATATTGAGATGGAATTTTGCAGAATCACTGATTATGGTCCAGGCAAGTCTCATTTGTGATCCTTCTGATTCAGATTCCCAGGGAACTGAGATTATGGGCATGCACCACCATACTTGGACTGTCTTATAGTTCTTTATGTGTGAGACACACTCTTGGAAGCTGCAGTAGCCTTTATTGTTATGGAAAGAACACTTTGCTCTGGGCCACACATAATGAGGTTTATAAAAATTCACCCCACCATTGATTTATTGTTTGACAATTTTGTTGGTATTTACAACTTTTATAATTTTGTGGTGGTTACCTACTGCCTCAGCCTCCCAGGTAGCTGTCAGTTACTCTTTGGGGGAAGAGGGGTATCAGGAATCAAACTTAAAACCTTGTGCTTGCCAGGCAAGTACTTGTGCCACTGAGCTAAATCCCCATTCCCTTCACTTACATTTTAGTAATAATCTAAAGAGAGGAAGCTTGCTTTTTCTTCTTCTTCTTCTTCTTCTTCTTCTTCTTCTTCTTCTTCTTCTCCTTCTCCTTCTCCTTCTCCTTCTCCTCCTCCTCCTCCTCCTCCTTCTCCTTCTTCTCCTCTTTCTTCTTCTCCTTCTCCTTCTCCTCCTCCTCTTTCTTCTCCTTCTCCTTCTCCTTCTTTTTCTTCTTCTTCGTCATCATCTTCGTCTTCTTCTCCTCTTATCTTTTTGAGACAGGATCTCCCTTTGTAGTTCAGGCTGACCATGAGCTCACTTTGAGCCCAGGCTGGTCTTGAACTTGCAGTGATCCTCCTGCCTTGGCCTCCCAAATGCTGGGATTAGAGGCATGTGCCACCGTGCCTGGCTGAGGAAGCTTTTTAATGATTAACCCCATCTGTTTAGAACTTATAATCTAGCTGTATACAAGATACAGAAAAACAGAAATAATGATCCATAAGGATTGTGTGTTGAGCTTCATTTAGTAAATGCTTTTCTAAAAGCATTTGGTGGTTTTGGGCAAAACAGAAGTTATGTGGTAGAGTCATGTTCAACTCAAGTATAAAAAGAAAGAGTAATAATAAGTAGGGAATTGAATAAAAGTGAGGGCAGGGTAATGGTGGGACCAAGACGAGTATGGTCACAGCGAACACTGTCCTAGACACTCTCCTGCTTACTGTGTTGCATTAAAAGCAATTGGGAAAATTAAATTTTCCTTTCCACAGATTTGAAGATACACAGAGAAACACAGAATATTAAAATCATTGCAGGAAATCTCTGATTTGTTTAATTTATTCAAAAACTAACACCAAGGAGAAATTTCTATAGAGGTATTTCAATAGAATGAGTGGATAATATACCTGATTTTCAAGAATACTGAGACAGGATCTTTTGGTTATTTCTTTGGAGCAGTAATTATAAAGTGGACTGTGCGTGTCACAAGGGAAACCGGAATTGCCCTATTCAAAAAAGAAATCCCAATGCTGCAGAACTGCCGCTCCCAGCTCCTCCAAGCCTACCCACCGTTGGGGCTGAGACTAGACGTAGAAAAGCACGGAGGAAAGAGCTAGAGATGGAGCAGCAGAATGAGGCTTCAGAGGAAAATAGTGACCAGCAACCACAAGAAGTTCCAGAAAAAGTAAATGTATCCAGTGATCATGAGGTAATCTCCCCTGGTAAAATGATGATATAGTATTGGTCCTCTAGTACAGTGATGGTGAACCTTTTAGAGCTTTCAATTCTACCAACAGCCCAATGTGACATGTACACCATAGGTTTGCCATCACGCCTCTAGTGGATTCTACATTGCCACTTGTGGTTAGGGGTCCTGTAATAATGCTTTATGCTGTACATATCAACATAAGTGTGCATTCGTTCATTTTATTTTATAAAGTTAAGAGCATTCTTTCAGTAATGCAGTGGTACTTTTGCTTTGTGTGGCATACACAATACTCTAGGTTTGATCCTCAGCCCCACAGAGAACATCCTTTCAGCTGTTTTCCAGATTTCAGTGTAGTGACTCAGAATCACTATCTGTGTTTGCCCTGTGGCCTCACCTGAGTAACACTGTGAAGCACTTACTAGAAATTGTAAAGTATTTTGCCCTCCCAGAAAATAAGTTATTTTCCCCCTCCCCAGAGCTTAAGAGTAAAACTTTATATTGCTTATATCTTAAAGGAAATAGACAATCCAGAGGAAAAACCAGAAGAAGAGAAAGAAGTTACAGAAGATGTGGAGAACCCAGCTCATAGCAGGAGGGTAGGTACCACCCGACGCCCTCTTGCTATTTCGGATTTTTGTTACCTCTCATAGGATAACTTTTGTCTTTTGCTCCTGTCTCATTTATTTCCCCTGAAAATTTAGTTTGGCCTTTTTTTTTTATCAGATAAAATTCATTATTACAATTTTTCTTTTCTTTTTTGTCTTTGTTTTTGAGACAGGACTCCCTGTGCAGTTCAGGTTGTCCTTGAACTCACCTTTGTAGCCCAGGCTGGCCTTAACTCATGGCAGTACTCCTGCCTCAGCCTGTGAAGTGCTGGGATTTATTATAATTTTCTTTTCTTTTTCTATGCATTGTTTGCTGACTTAGTGACTTTTCTAAAAACTAGGTGTTCCTAACTAAAGTCCTAAGGCTATTTTGCTCTCGATTCAGGAATTGTCTTGGTTTATGTATGTGTATCTTGTTGTTTTTAACTTCTTTCAGTTATGGGTAATAAAAATTAGTTTACTTTTATGCTGAAACGAATTGTATGTATGTATGTATTTTTTAAATGGTATTTTTTGTTGTTGTTCATGGAAGATTCAAGGACAATTCCCTTGATAGCTTTTGAACTCCCAAACACAAAGGAAAATGGCTTTAAGGGCTGTTTTTCTTTTACATTAAAAAATTTTAAGATACAGAGCTAGATGTGGTGGCTCACACCTGTAATCCCAGCACTCAGGAGGCTGAGGTGGGAGGATCGTTGCGAGTTCAAGACCAGCCTGGGCTACAAAAAGTGAGCTCAAGGTCAGCCGGAACTGCATAGGGAGACCCCGTCTCGTAAATAAATAAATAAAATTTTAAGATAGCAGAAAGTACAGACATAATCTTGCTTTCTTTTCCAGTTGTTTCCAACATTTTAAGTAAAATATTTTAATTTTGATCTTACCTTTTCAAAGATGTGTGCATCATCTTGCTGGTAATTTAGTGAGTTTTAAAAATGTCCATCTATAAAATAGATGTCCCTGCAGCCTGCTGAAGCTTCTCTATGCTAATGCTATTTCTTCCTAGACACGGGAGGATAGGAAAGTTGAGGCCATCATTCACGCTTTTGAAAACTTAGAAAAAAGAAAGAAGCGACGGGATCAGCCGTTGGAACAGAGCAGCTCTGACATAGAAATTACTACCACTTCAGAAACTCCTGTTGGAGAAGAAACAAAAACTGAATCCCCTGAATCTGAAGTTAGCAACGCAGCTTCAAACATTTCCATCCCAAGCACCCCACAGAATATTGGTGTGAATACTCGGAGGTCTTCCCAAGCAGGGGTAAGAGAAGAAAAGACTTTTTACCTGTATCTTGGAATAGCTAAAATCAGAACTTTTAGCTTTGTCCCATATCACAATATGTAAAAGCAGTTTAACATCGTAATTAAGTAGTTCCTGGAATTCAGAGAGACAGGTCAGAATTTAAGTGACTGCACACCTTCAGGCTAGAATGGAACATGGTACTGTTTCTGCCAAGACTGGTGGTCGCAAGTTCTTAAAAATATTTGAGAGGGGTGGGGATGTAGTACAGCAGAAATGCTTACCTACCCCACACAAGACCACAGGTTCAATCCCCAGCACCACAAACTAAACAAAACATCTTTCAGGAACCCAGAACAATAATCCTACCTGTTGAGTTGTGTGTTTTGGGGGTTTTTTGTTTTTTGTTTTTGTCTTTTTCGTTTTTATCGGTACCAGGGATCAAACTCACGACTGCCTGCTTGCAAGGCAGGTGCTTATGCCGCTGAGCTAAATCCCCAGCCCCCTGTTGAGTTTTAAGAGTCTCAATATCAAACCCTGGCAACATAGCAAGACTCCTATCTCCTAGAAAAAAGGAAACCATTGATTTCTAGCCAAATGTGAAGATCAGTAGTGGAGAACATAACATGTGCAAGGACCCAGGTTTAGTCACTACAACACATATACACAAAACATCCTTTGGTTCTCTCAAGAATCGTATGTATAGCCTAGTTAAATAGTTGATCTTTCATAGGATTGTCAAGTTAAACCCATCTTGCCCGTTCCTATGCAAGCCATAGTGTAATGCTAAAACCTCAGTGTGGAGAAAAACACAAAGGAGAACTCTTTTTCCCTGCTAAGGACCCTACGGTTAGGTCACTACTTTTTGCTGATTTTTGCCCTATTTTGTAGATGCTTACTTGAAGTAACTAACCCAGACAGCTAACTGACTAGCTCAACCTCTGGCTGGTATTTAAGTGTGTAAATATTTGTATTCAAGGACTGTACTTATTTAAGTGTTCTGTAAGTTTTTTCACCAATATGCATTTTTGAAACTTGATTTCTCCCTGCCAAACATACAACAGTCATGAATAGGAAACCAGGGGTATGTTTCTGATACAAAGTTTCTCATCAACATTTGACCCTTATATTGTTACAGGATGTTACTGCAGAAAAACCAGTCCCCAAAGCACCTCCAGCAAAGCCATCTAGGCCCCGACCGAAGAGTCGAATTTCTCGGTACCGGACCAGTTCAGCCCAAAGACTAAAGCGTCAGAAGCAGGCCAGTGCACAACAGGCAGAGTTGTCACAAGTTACCTTGGAAGAGGGGACAAATAACAGCTCAGCAACTCCCACTGAAGCTGGAAGTACAGACACTTTAGGAGAAAACAGACAGTTAACAGGATCCGACCCAACTGTGGTGTCAGTTCCGGGATCCCATGTCAATCGTACTGCATCGAAGTACCCCAAAACCAAAAAGGTAAGTGACAAATACTTCTTCACAGGCTTAACCTGCCAAGGGCTGTTTTAGTAAGATGATGAGGAGACCTATAATTTTTAGGAAAATTAACCGTAGCATTACTAGATTGAAAGATCTAGGTAAAACTGTCTTTATGTGGAAGGCTGAAGCCAATCTAGTACCTTTTGTTCCCTTAGTTTTAGGCAGAACATAAAGTTACTTGCTAGCTAACATCATTCATCTTTTAGGAAAGGCATGGAGAAGATGTGCATTGTAAATGCCCAGTTCATGCTCGCTGCAGCTCTGCATCTGCCCTAGTTTGTAGATGAGGTGTGTCTTTGTGAATTGCACTGTTGCCTCTGGCTTTTATTTATGCAACATTGACTAATTTTTTTTTTAACCCTAGTATCTAGTTACAGAATGGTTGAATGACAAAGCAGAGAAGCAAGAGTGCCCTGTTGAGTGCCCTTTACGTATCACCACAGACCCAACTGTACTGGCAACAACCCTGAACATGTTACCTGGTCTTATTCATTCCCCGTTAATTTGCACCACTCCCAAACACTACATTCGCTTTGGCTCACCCTTTATGCCTGAGAGACGTCGAAGACCCCTTTTGTCTGATGGCACATTCAGCTCCTGTAAAAAGGTATGTCTGTGTTTATGTGGTTTTGATTTTTTGTTTTTTGTTTTTTTTTTTTTAACAAAACGTGCTATAATCATAAGATATTTAACACGTTTTCTAGATAGATGCTCTACCCATATGAGTTTATGACCAGTTCATTGTTCAACGCGAATGCATCAAGAGCCAGTGGGACTAAGGTTGAATGTATAGTACATTTTCAGTGTTCAAATTTTCACTGTGGGTATTCACTGTTGTTTCTTCCGAGAGCCCTTGAGGTTACTGAGAGCACACAACAGTTGACGACTGATTAGGGAGAGAGAATGTTTTGTGTGCACTTTTGTGGTATTGGTTTACATGTCCATTTGTGGTTTGAATTAACTCAGTCACTATTATCGCCTGAAAGGGTTTAGAGGAAAAGTCCTATTTTAATTGACAGAATTCCTCTTCCTTGATTAAATGACAACAAGATGGATTATTCCCTATAGAATGTGGAACCTATCTACTATAAAGGACTGTCTCTTCTCTCTCTCTACTTCTCTCTCCTCGCTTTAGATAGAGTTTTTGGATCAAGTGGCAATAGTATTTTGTGGTTGGTTGTTTCTGGAATGCACTCTTACCTCCCAGAAGCCCTATATATTTTCCAAAGACGTGTTTCAGGTATAGACCACTCAAATCTGTAATGTTGGTTCAGTGTTGCTAGAAGTATAGGACACCCTTTCATTTGGTCTTTCCTTGAGGTAGAGTTCTGTTCCCTGGAACATCCTTTTCTCTTATCCTCAGATCTGGATTCAGGCTGCCTTCCTCAGTGTCTGCCATTGCCCTCCTCCACTGGCATCACGTACATGAGGATGCTGCATGTAGATTATTTGATGTGATGAAGTCTCCAACTCCAGGCAGGTCTTCCCTGACTCCTCCAAACTTAAAGCTTTTCTCTTTCCCCAAAGAACAGAAGTTACTCCTTGGGGGTGGGGGGCATGAAAGATGAGCCAGAGTGGTATGGGATGCGGAGGGGAGGAGGGCAGCAGGAGTCTGTGCGCCACACACTACAAGGAGTCTTTCCTCATTATCTTACCTAAATATTTGAGTTACTTTTCAGTAACTCAGTAGAAAAAAATCCTAAAGAGCAATTTGACCCCATGATCCTTGTCAAAAGGGTTGGTAGATAACACAGTAATATGAGTAACTTTCAGGTGACAGAAATAGAAACAGTGACAACTTTCTTTAAAAACAAAATAGTAGACTATTTCTGAAAAGCTATTTTCAACAGGAAATTTGCCTCAGTAACAAGGGAGAATTGAGTCTCTGAGGATACTTTCTTAATCAGGTCACTTAGACTCCTTTATCAGAGACAAAAAATAGTGTGCCATTTGGTATAAAAAGCACTATACCTAACCTTCTGTAATAAATGTAAAGCTGTTAATTCTAATGTGGCCTGTAAAACTAGAACCACATATACCTTCTACAGTTTAACCTTACTCAGTCCCTCAGTAAGAGTAAGAGTTTATTATCTTAAACTACTTTTGTGGGCTGTTAAAAATTAGAAAGGACCTAGATACAGTCGTCAGTCCACAGCAGGGGCAAGTAAAGAGATAATATATTTAAATATATGAAAGAAACTTTTTCCTTTTGTTCCATTTTTGGCTGAACAGTAGGACTAGATTTCTAAGATTGTTGGCTATTGAATCATTCTGTCAGATCAGATAAAAGTACGGACAGTTATTTAGTACAGGTTAATAGTAAAGAATATGTTATAATATGAAATAGCCTCTTGAAATGCCTCCTTGATAGTTCTGATGCTGGGTTACCATCTTTTTGTTCCCATCATGCTTTTCCAACCAGCAGACAGTTGTAAAAACCAAAACATGTTTAGGACTGTGACTTCAATTACAATGGAAAATTGATTTCTTTGTGCTCTTTTCCCTGATTGTGATTTAAGGTCTATATCAGTAGCTCATTTTTCATCTCCATTGGCATCAGATAGAAAGAGGTCATGCTTAAGTCCATGTTATAGTCTCTACATATATTTGACTATCTTCATCTTTTGTTTTCTGTTGTGTTTAGAATTGTGTTCTGTTTTGTTTTCAGTGCTGGGAATGGAACAGAGGGCCCTGCACATGTTAGGCAAGCCTTTTACAACTCAACTATATCACCACCCTCATCGTTAGCTTTATATAAACTATCCTTAAGCATTTTACACATGGCATAGTCAGTCGTCAGGAAAAGGTAAGGGGTCAGGTACATATACCAAGTTACCGTAGCAAGACGATTGTGTTTAAATTGCATCATTTCAGTTTAGTTCTAAATAGTTTCTTTAAATATCTGTTTTCATATTTGCTGTAAGTAAATCTACAACATGTTATAAAATGTACAGCTTTTTTGAATAGAGTTGAAGTCGGCTTTATTCTGAGTGGAGGTCAGCAATTACTCTTAGAGTGGTTAGAAATAACCACTAATTCAAGGCCTAAGAACATTTGCGTGGTTAAACAAAATTGTAGGACAATTCTGAATATCCCTTAGAAGATATATTAAGCAAGTAGATATTAAAAACTACTCTGTAGGATAAGTTACAGCAATATATATTCCTAATAGACCCATTGCTTGATATCTGATTTGAGGAGGAAGGCCTTCTAAACTATAAATAGTGTAAGACAAGCCAGGGGTCTTGGCACATACCTGTAATCACAGCCCTCAAAGGCTGAGGCACGAGGATTACCATGAGTTCAAGGCCAGCCTGAACTACAAATTAGACCCCGTCTCAAAAAAATTTTGTAAAACAAATAAAAATTGTATCTGGGTATATGTACCCAGATTATGAGGATATTTCAGGACATTTATTGATATGTCCAAAGGGTCTACATTAAATTGAGTCATAGAAAAGCATTTTATGATTTTATATCTTCTTCTAGATCTGACTTGAACCATTATTTTAGGGGAAAAAATATTTGTGCATAACCAAAAAGTCTTTCAGTCACGTTCTCCCTTGTTCTCCATAAAATCACTTACCAGGCGTCCTATATGTAGCACATTTAGTCTCCCAAATATCCTGCCAGACTAATAATAAAGCACTGTGCTTTGCATTACTATTTTATTATATATACCAAAGAGTTGTAATTCATGTGTCCTTAAACATACCGACTTTTAGTTAGAAAAAAAGACTCATTGAAAATCTACTTTACCCAATACTATGCTATCTTTGTACCACAGCCTGAGATGTTGGTATTATTACCCCAGTTTACAGATTCAGAAGCTCTGGTTGATAACTCCACAAAAACAACTAGTACATGGCCCAGCCAGATTTCAACCCAGGTGTTTTGGTCTGCAAAATCTGCATTACTTCCTTCCCTATAATAATGCTACTCTTTTAACATTTCTGTTACCCTTCTTTGACCTCCTAAAACCTTTTTGTCTTTCAGTGCAGTTTCAGAAAATGGAGAAAAGTCTTTAATAATTCTAGACAGAATTTGGATAGGTTTGGGGAGGGTCTAAAAGTAGTTAGTTACCCATATGGTTGATTGAAACACAAAGAAATACTCATGTTCCTTTTAAAGTAATGTAAAAGCCTACAGAGCAAAAAAGGATGGTGTTTAAGTTATGCGTTAACCATGATAGCGTCTTATACCTTCGTTGCCCCTTTCAGGCTTTATGTTCTCTTTTTTATTTACTAAATTTTTTATACTTATATCTACTTAATACTGAAAATATAAGCAATTTCTCTCAAAGGAAAGTTCACAGGTCCCAGATGAGTTCTGTTATGTGCTCTCAGAAGAAAATCTTGTGCTAATGATAACCTGTGACACATGTTTTTGACTCATTATGTCCTCCCAAGTCTAGTTTCCCCCTTCTCTGAAATAAGTGCTTTGGACAAGATAACTTTGAAAGTGTCTTCTATGGGTCTGTGATTCTGAAAACTCATCTTTGCCTAAATATTTTGTATGTAAGAGTTTATTCTTGGTCTTGGCTTTCGGAGACTTGGTCATATCCTTGAATAGTAATCCCTTTTTATATACTCAGTTCATTGGAGGGAAAATCTACTGGAATTATTCTCTTTAGTGAAAGAGACTATTTACTTACCTGTAATACATGTTCTCTAAACATGTAAAATTAGAATTCGCCTTTGCTCTTCCTATTTGTGGATGGTCTGACTCAGAAATTGATGTTTATCAAAATTCGATCTGTCTTATGTCAGAGCAGGAAAGCCACAGAATGGTGAACCACCAGAACTGTGTGTCTTAAGAGAGCACAATTACAGGTAAGAAGTTTTCTCTCTTCCAAAGGATGTATAATCTTACTGTCCTAGTTTTCGCAGGCTTGCTTTACTATCTGATCTAAACATTTCTCAAAAATTTAGATTCTTGTAGTTTGCCAAAAAGTTAGTTTCTAACTGGAGAAGTCGTCTTTTTTACTTTTTCCCTTTTGATTTGATTTCTGCAGGTCATTTCTTCTTGTGATTTTATATTTGTGCTTATATTGCGAACTACTTGACAGTAGGTAGAAGTATAGTAAACTCTTCTAGTACATGTAGTGAAGTTATTTATTCTCATCCAAAATCATCTGAGTCTTTTACCTTTTCAGATGTTCCCAGCATAGGACAGGCAACTCTTAAAGAGATCTTTATCTTCTCTCTCAGCACATATTTATGTATTTTGTTCTGATTGACCAGAGTCTCGGTTAAATAAATATGAAGGTCTCTTCTTTATCTATTTCCATTTACCTTACCGTTAGCAGTATGAAAAGTTGAATAGTAATCATTTTTACTGGTTTGGGTTTTTTTTGTTTGTTTGTTTTTTTAAACAGTCTCGTTACCAAGATTTTCTCAGCTTTGTGTGGTGGAAGGGATCGATGGGACAATACCTTAATATGCTGAGGTATAAGGCTTGACTGTGGGACTGAGTGAATTTATGGGATTGTGTGTCTTATCAGTTGATGTGTAATGCCATGACTAGTGCATTAAAGTGGAAATACTTGATAGGTTCAATGATTATTAAATTCTGGGTTTTTTTCTCCCCTCGCTATAGCGCTGGATAAAGCAAGCATTGGAAGAAGGGATGACTCAAGCATCATCTGTACCCCAAGAGACTAGAACTCAGCACCTATACCAAAGTAATGAGAATAGTAATTCCTCTAGTATCTGCAAAGACAATGCAGGTATGTGCCTTAGAACTTTTCTAAATGTATAAGCAATAATTATTTGAGGTCCACATTAAAAATTTCAGTATTACTACTCTAATATAAAAAAAATAGCATGTTCTCTAAATAGATATTTTACATCTGTCTTTACAGAGGAAGAGAGAGATCTCAAGTCAGGGATCAGTTTTCCCTGGACGACAAAGAAGGAACTAGACAGTATACAGATAACAACAGAAATGATTATAAAACAGGTTAGACACATTTAAAGTAGTAAGTTGAGGAAATCTGTTTTCATAATTGTAAGGGGGAGGCAAGAAACTGGTGAAACACTAATATTCAGGAACAAATTCTGAATGATTGAGTTAGGTGGGTAACGGTTGAGGGGATAGATGATGAATCAAGCAAGGACTTAATAATTCATTGCTGTTAGATGAATGTAGACAAGCAGTGTAAAATATTTTTGCGATGACATACCATTAAATCCAGTGTAACATCCTCAAGAGTTTTTATACCAAATCGTAGTATGGTAGAAACCTATAATCCTAAGTAGGAGACGCGAGTTGATAGCCAACTTGGGCAACTTTTAACTGTACCCAGTTTCAAAATAAAAAAGAAGGAGGTAAAATTCCTCCTACCAATATTTAGCTCAATTGAAATGTTCTCAGGGCTAGAGATCTCTAAATTGTTTTAATATTATGGGTTGAAAATAAAATGTTAGGGGCTGGGGGTTTAGTTCAGTGGCTTAAGTGCTTGCCTACCTGGCAAGCCACGAGGTCATGAGTTCAATCCCCGGCACCAAAAAAAAAAGAAAATGTTAAATAGGTACTCATGAGGTACTCATGTAAGGCTGTAGTTTGAGTAATACTGCTGGAGATTTTTATATAAACCACTTCATTTGTGTTTGACTTAGTGGAAAAGGCTTATGAATGAAAGCTAGTAAACAGCTTTTATTTGGATTTTCCCTGCCTCTTTTGTTTTATTGGGAAAAGTAGAATACCACTCTGTGTGTGTGTGTGTGTGTGTGTGTGTGTGTGTGTGTGTGTGTGAGTGATTTCAGGGATCGAACTCATAACCTCATACTTGCTAGGCAGTCGCTTATGCCACTGAGCTGAATCCCCAGCCCTGGAATACCACTTTTAAATTGTTGTCTTTGTTTATTCTTCTGTCTGAGATTTAAATTAATAAAATACAGGTATAACCATTTATTTAAAATACTTCATTCTGTTTTATATCAAAAATAGGGAGATTTAGGGCCTGGGGATTTAGGTCAGTGGCATAAGCGCCCACCTTGCAAGTGTGCATCGTGAGTTCGATCCCTAGTACCGATTAAAAAAAAAAAATCCAACAAGATTAATACCAACAAATCCTTATGGCAGAGTGCCATCAATATTATCAATTCACTAGCAACTTTTAAAAAGCAGTTAAAATTGTTAAGCTGACATGGATTGTCATTTGTGTGTTTTTCTATCTGGTATATGTTATATAGGTATGTGGCCAAGGTTGGCTACAAAGCACTTCATGTCCTGACTAGCAAAGATTTATAGACAAACTGCCTTTGTTACTAGGTGTCAGTCCTGGTTAGAATGGAATTAGGACCGTTAGTCACCATCCTTTATTAGGTTTCTGCTCTAGACTCTTAGCAAGCAATGAAAAAGATTCACAGAACACACCTCACCCTTAAGGATCAGCATAAATAAAAGAAAATATTTAATAAACAAATCAAGCCCAGCATGGTGGTGCTGTAATCCCAGCATTCAAGAGGCTGAGGCAGGAGGATCATTGCAAATTCAAGACTAGCCTGGGCTACAAAGTGAGATGAAGGCCAGCCCGAAATGCATAGTGATACCCTTTCTCAAAAAGACAGGAAAAAAATCAAGCAGTGATCAAATGAATGACTATCATCCTAGAAGTTATTGTAAATCCTGAGGAATTATTTTGGTTCATTAGTGAGGAAATGTATTGTTACAGTAGAGAAAAATCAAACAGATCTATATTTTGGGACCAACTCTAGCCTTTACTAACTATACAGTGTTATTGATAGCTATCTGAGCTTCTTTAAAAACAAAATACAGTAGTAATATTTGCTTTAAGGGGCTGAAATTAAATAAAGCATAAAAATTGGTCAATACAGTATCAGAGCAATACCCATTACTGTCATTATATTCTTTCTTAAGTATAAATACTGGCTACATTTGAGATTCTAAATCTTAAAGTTACATTGAAATGAAAGTATTACCATTAAACTAAAACTTGAAATGGATTATCAAAATGTCTCTGTTGCCATTAAAGTAGGGATGAAGCAGAATGTTTATTATTTGTGATATGAAAGATCTTTAGGAGCACCTAAATAATCACTTGAGAAACTTAGAATTAATAACATGTAATAAAATTCTGGATAGGAATAAATGCACAAAAGCATGTACTACCATTAATATACTTAGAAAATGAGTGAAGAATTTAAAATTTTTAATTTTAAACCTAACAAAACTAAACTAAGAACCTGCTTAGGTTCTCCTTAGATAGGTGAGCATGTCATTATTGAGAAAAATGTTTAAAGTTAGAGGAAAAGACGGGATTCTGTCATTAATGAAAAGAATAAATACTACATATAGTGACTTTGTTTCTTCTTCTGTCTGACATTTAAGTTAATACATATGTAACTCTAGGATAATACAATACAGGTATAACCTGGATTTCTCCATATTGTTTCCACCAAACTAACGTCTATTTTAAATTTTGATTAAATTATCTGGTTTAATTTTTGCAAAACCAAAAAAAAAAATTTAAGAGAAATAATGGAGTATTTGACCTTGAAGTATGAACACTATCTTCTATCTTCTAATATGAAGCTAGTAATTAAGTCATTATGGTATTGGTACAAGAATAAATGTGTATTTGGAACAGAATACTCATAAACAGGCCTCAAGATAAAGATTTGATAAATTGTTGGTTAAATTTTTTGTTTACTTAAACAGTTTTTTAACTATTATTTTTGTGTCTGTATTTTCTCTGAGTTAATATACTTGGGGGGGAATTTTCAATAAAAATGACAAGAGAATTGTATTTCTTATAATTTCGATGAGATGTATCATGTATTAAAAATGTTTATACTTCTGTACCTTGATACTTTGGATGTCTATCATAAAAAAATGTGGAAACCAAAACTTTACATTGAAGGATAATTACAAAAATATATGTACACAATAAAAATCTGAATTCCAAGTGGTTACTCAATAGTACAATTTGTATTTTTACTGCATGCAGATAATTTTGATCAAGTAGAATATAATGTTCAGTGAATTTTTCTCCTGGGATGCTCACAGGTAGAGCACTTGTCTAGCATGCATGAAGCCCTGGGTTCAGTGTTCACCTAAACAGCAACCAAAAATTATTCTTGATTCATTGTGTCAAATTAATTTACGAGCTTCCTAAAACAGCATAGTACAATGTATGAATTAGATTTGTAATCTTGATTTGTTCTTTGAATCTATAAGAATACTAAATAACATATCAATTTTCCTAGGAATAGAAGAGCTTTTAATTTGAGGAATTCAGTGTTTAGTAGGTCATTGGGGTTGTAAAAAATCAGAGCACAATATAGTCACAGATTTAATGATTTAAGCTAGGCATGGTGACATAGTGAGTTCAAGGCCCACCTGAACTACATACCGTGACCCTGTGCACCTCCCCCAAAAGAAATTAATAATTAAATAGCATAAGTACAATTTTTTGAAAATGTAAAAGCAGTTGCCAGTTATCATCTTCATTGCGAAAACTAAAAATGGATTATCAAAGCATCTCACTGTTGCCATTATTTAACATATTATAAAATTTTTAGCCAAAGGATGTATGTGTTACCTTGTACAATTAATACAGTCATCTAAATAAAGGAGCCAAGAAAATTAATTGAAAGCTAGTAGGGAAGTGTAGGGTGACTTGAAACAAACATTTTCTTAAGCAATAACATTGTGATAAAATAAATGAGGAAATCTGTAATACTCAAAATAGTAGCAAAGACTAGAGAATGCTGGAAAGCAACCCAAGTTAAAAGTGTGGTGCATCTCAGTGAAGAGGGCTAAAAATCAAGAGTTGAGTGATGGCAAAATCATGCAGTTTCCTGAATGAGACTGAATTTCATAGAATACCAACACCAGTCAAAATCCCTTTCTTTGTGGTATGCATGTGGTTGACTGATGATTACTACAGTTAACATTAACATGAAAAGTGTGTGCTAGAAGTGCTAAAGTATCATGGAGAAGCGGAGTAGAATAACCCTAACAATTTTACTAAAAAGTACATCAAGCCAACATGGTGGCCCAGGTCCGTAATCTCAGTCCTGAAGAAGCCGAGGCAAAAGAATGGCAAGTGCGATGTTTCCTTAGACTGTAGATCAATACTGTTTCAAAATTTTTACATACATGTACATATGCGCATAAACAATGTCTGTTGGTGTCATGTTGTACATGTTGCACAGAATAGCACTCAGAAATAAACCAGTGTATTTAGAAATCTGAAAGAATAAATGTGATATTCTAAATTAATGGGTACAGAATTATAACTTCAAAAGATTTCAGAAGAAGATGTTACCATAGCTGTTTGTTATAGGAAAAGAATAATGAGCACCTATATATGAGTCCAATACTTTATAGTGTCAGTGAGCTTTTACAAAAAAGATGGTAATTAACAATTGTGTTCAGATTTCAAAACTATTATGATGTTTCATTGTTAAGTATACTATTTGATTAATTTTTAAATACATATTTAAGAACATATTATACTATTACACGTTCTCTTGTCTTCCCCCTCCCCGCTCCGATTGTTTATTTTTGCGCCAGTACTAGATAGGTATTAAATTTAGGAGCACTGAGCTATGTTTCCAGCTCTTTTTTGAGACAAAGTCCAGCTAACTTCTTGTTATCTTCAAATTTGAGGTCCTACTTTCTCAGCCACCTAAGTTTACAGGCATACCTATGGTTTTTGTTTTATTAAAATGTAAATTAAGGGCAGATGGTGTCAGTGGTAGTGCTTACCTAATTGGGGTGAGGCTGTGCAATCAGTGAATCAGCCAATAAAATGTAAATGAAAATTAAACTTGGAAATAAAGGAAAAACAAGCTGCCTTGGTTTGTGGTCTGGGTTTGTGTTGTGTAGTTTGGTTTGAGAGAAGATCTCTATTTGGTTCACACTGGCCTCAAAATCGCAAAAACCCCCTGCCTCAGGTTCTGAAGTGCTGGGATTACAGATGTGGACCACCATGCCCAGCTGAATGTAACAGTCTCACCAAAGAGTTAACTTCCCTATTTAGAAAACCTTTATAAATCAAGAAAAGATAAGCATTCATTAGAATGCAGTCTAAAAGACAGGAGCAGGCTGTTCACACAAGAATAAGTAAATCAAGAAGCATATGTAAACATTATTTCGGTCTAAAAATCCAACGTGTGGGGGTAGGCCTTTAGCTCAGCGGCACAGCCGCCTGCCTGGCAAGCACAAGGTCATGAGTTTGATCCCCAGTATGCCCCACCCCAAAGATATATTAACCATTTGTCCTAAAAAGTAATAAACATGAAACAGGAGCAGGAATGTATAGGAGCAAAATTTTTAGTGATTGGTTTTTTATAATAATGAGAAAAAGTACTTCACTTGGTTAAATTTGGGTAATATTAATGCCATGTAACCATTTGAAAAGTGAGTTACAGATTTCTGTTACTTGTCCTTGAAAGATGATTAAAGGCATGCCTGGCTAAAAAAATACCTTTAGGTACAGATAGATCTTAACCACATAAAGTTTGACATCTGTGTCTCCAAAAAATAAAATAAATGGAGAGAAAAAGACAAAGGCTGGCCCATAAACTTCATGAGGGCATGTGTCGGGTCTGGTTTGTGGAGTAAATATCATAATAAGTTTTTAGTAAATGCCATTTGCATTGATTTGTTCGTGGCAGTTTTCACTCACGTTTTCTACAATGAATGTCCTTACATATTTTTTAATAGTTAACAGTGTTGGAGCTGGCAGCACAAAGGTCTTTTTTGTATGTGTGTGCTTAGGCACTTTTTAAAAAGAAAACCAAATTTAGTGTCCGGAACAAAAGACAAGTGTGAATATACTTTCAAAATAAGAAATAAATTCTAAGATCTCAGGAAAACTTAAGCTTCTCCTGTATTTCTGCTCATATTCTTCCCTCTTTTTTACATGTTTCTCTTCATCAGTATCTCATACCTGTTTGTGTTTACTCCCTTAACTCCAGAGATTTTCCCAGGTGGCAGTTTTATCCTAACAATTTCTGGCAGGTTAATCTTCATGAAGCTTTTTTCTGGTCAGGACCTACTAACCTAGAACTTTTTTGAAGGCCTGCGATAACTGTCACCCCTTAGAGCAAGCCTTGGTGATATAATTCACAAGCTAGACCACCTAGGTTTTCTTTTTTCCCTGCACATGAGAGTCCTCATCTTTAGCATGAGGGTGATGATGATAATAAGTAATGCTGGATTCACAAGTTAAGTTATACATTTCACCTAAAACACATACTATGCTGCATGGTATAGAGTAATCCCTTGAAAATGTACCTGGGTTATTTTGTTTTGTTTGATTGTTTTTGAAATAGGATCTCTATATTGTTCAGACTGGCTCTGAACTCACTATGTAACCTCAGCTGGGCTTGAACTCACAGTGATCCTCCTTCCTCAGCCTCCTCTGAATGTTGGGATTATAGGTGTGTTCCACTATACCTGGCTGCATAGCTGGCTTTTACTTTCTATTTTGTTTTGTCCTGGGGCCAGTTGTTTTGAGATTTGTTTGGGGGTTTTTGTTTGGTTTGGTTATTTAGGAAGGAGTTGGTTTTGATTCAAGGTCTCACTATTTTTTTAGGCTAGTTTTGAACTCCTGGGCTCAGCTGATCCTGCTTCAGTCTCCTGGGTAGCTGGTACTACAGGCACACATCCTTATACCTGGCTTCAACTGTCATCATTTTTATTAGTACATGGCAGTATGACCACCTCTCTTGATCATTCTAATATTCAGCATGTTTTAAATGTTTTCTTTTACAAATGTAAAAGTTTTCTAAAAGCAGAATGTATGATGACTGTTTCCCCTTACTATCTAGTTTAATGATGATGTATAATGACTATTAAGTAAATGTTCATTCAACAATAAGTGAAGGGGCTGGGGATTAGAGTTTTATATGTAAACAATAAGTGAAAAAGTTGTTTAGAGAAGCAAGTTAGATAGGTGCTTTAATTTTTTCTTTAAAATTCATATTCTGACTACTTGTTAATAGGGTCCATTTAATTAGAAAAAGTATCCAACCTAGTTTTCTTTTGATTTATTCATTTTTGCGGGGTAGTACTGGGACTCAACTCATGGCCTCACATGTGCCAAGCAGGTACTGTGCTTTTTTATTTTAGTTTAGTTTGATTGGTTGGTTGGCTGGTTTTGGTACTGAGACTTGAATTCAGGAAGTTGCACTTGCCAGGAAGGTGTTTGTGCTGCTGGCCCTTTTTTTTTTTTTTTTTTAATGTTTGGTGGGAGTTTTTATAGAAATCATGTCATAGCTTTCTAATAATAGGCACTAGATGTCAGTGGGGGAATCATGTTTGACTTCTCCACAAGTATTACAGAAAGAACAGCTGAAAAGGGACATAAATCTGTAAGACAAAATAACAGGAATATGTATTGAGCATCCCAGGAACTTCAGTGTGGTAGTAAGGACCATACAGGGTCATTTTAACAAAGTAATGTGGACTTCAGATTTTCGTCAGCTCAGTGTGATGGAAGGAAATTTGTATTTTGATTTGGAAGAGAGTAAACCCAGAACTATCCATTTGGAGTTTCTCTGGAAGATAGCATGATTTGAAATTAGCGCAGTGTAGTCATTAAAGAGTTTCATTGGACTGTTGATTAGAGGAGATGATTTAATGAAGTGAAGTGAAGATAGAGGCCTTATACTGAAGAACCTCCCATTAAGCTGAGCTTCACCTCTCATCCTTGTTTTATATTTCACAGACTTGTTGAGCCCATTAAAGAAATGGAAGTCTCGCTATCTGATGGAACAGAACGTTACCAAGTTACTTCGACCTCTGTCTCCAGTTACACCACCCCCTCCTGGCTCAGGCTCAAAGAGCCCCCAGCTGACCACACCTGGCCAGACTCACCCAGAGGAAGAATGTCGAAATGGATACAGCCTCATGTTCTCACCAATCACATCTCTTACTACTGCTAGTCGCTGCAACACTCCTCTGCAGTTTGAGGTGATTTGGGTTTGGTTGTTTGAGATGCTAGATATGAAAATAATCATTTGTGTCTTCCCATTTCAAATATATTATCATTTCAAATATTTCTTTACTGTCTTCCTACTATCCATCTCATCAAGAAAATGGGAAACCTCAGGGTTGGGGTGGCGTGTTACCTGGTAGCCTCTCACCTTGGCAGCCCCAGAGCAGGAACAGTGCTACCCAGGGTTCCATCATCTGTCTTTGGCATGCAATCCGTCATTCTCCTTAACTTTAGTAGTAAGCCTACTAGGTCTTTACTTATACCTTGGTCAGAGTACACTTTGAGTGATTATAGAAGCCATCAGTAACACCAGCCTGAGAGCTCAGGTCAGACTTTTGGACTGTGTCTCTGTTTCTAGGCCTTTAAATGAGTAGATTGTCTTCTCCAGGTTGTTTGGTATTTCCATTGTGGCCTCAGTGAACAGAGCTTTAAAAAGCATTAGGGTATGGCTTATGGTGAATACGTTTTTGGTTTTTAAACATCAAATTACTTTGTCCTTGTATAATGTGTGAAGAATGAGGCTAGTAATATGAATTTTTTAGAGGCGAACTTACTGTATTTTTAGATTTAAGTTAGAAATGTATGTCCCTCAGCTGCTTCTAACTATAATTCTAAAACAGTTTAGTGTTTAGTTTGCGTTTGAATAGGATCTATGTGTATTTTAAAAACTCATCTATTAAGCGTGGTGACATATGCCTGTAATCCCAGCACTCTGGAAGGCCAAGACAGTAAAACCACAAGTTGAAACCCAGTCTCTGTAATTTAAGGACTTAATGAGATGCTGTCTCAAAAGAAAAAATAAAAAGGACTGGATGTAAAGCTCACTGTGAAGGACCTGGGGTCAATGTCCAGTATCATTCCCCCAAAAAAGACTCATGTATTGCTATGTTGTTCTGACTTGAAATTAAATTAAATGGATCCCATCTACTCTTTCTCAGAAAAATTCGTTCTGGCCGCTAAACACACAGCTCTACCACTAGCTGTCACTATTCCAGATGTGGCTTCAGTGAAGTTGAATGTCGTAACCAATTCTACCTTCTTGTTCAACCTTCATGACAGTGTTAGGATTGAACATAACCTGGGTGTTTATATCAGTATCCCAGAAAGCACTCACAACCTTGTAAGCCAAGTTATGTGTTCTGTCTAATAATTCACATTTGGAGTGAACCTCTTTCCATCTGAAAGAAATGCCTCCCAGTTACATTTGACTTTTTAGGGAAATTACTTATCAAATTCCTGTGGTGTTCTTATTAGCCAAATACAAAAGAAGCTAATTGAGACCTTTCTCATTTTACCTTATTTGCAGTTAACTTTCAATTAGCCATTAGGAGTTTTATAGTAAGATATAATGAGGGGAAATTCCCTCTGGAAGGCCAGTAGATTTTAGGACTGGAGTTTAGTATTCAGCACATTCCCTTTCCCTTGTAGTGTTTTGTAGTATGAAATGCTACACAGTGGGAAGTATTTTTATATTTTTTAAAAAGCTGAAAAGAGGGGCTGGGGATTTAGCTGTGCGGCATAAGCAACTGCCTGGCAAGCGTGAGGTTGTGAGTTCAATCCCCAGTACCGTAAAAAAATAAAAGCTGCAAAGATAATTTTAATGAAGCATTGTCCAAGCATAATTCTTTAATACCAAGAAGGAAAGACTGTATTAAATGGCAGAATTTCCAGTGCACGATTCCGTTATTATAGACCTGTGATTTAAGGACATTTAGTCTTCCTCATTTTTAAAAAAAAAAACCTTGCTGCCTGACCCATTCTTGTCACGGTTCTAATAGCAATGGTCTTTCCGGTCTGTCCTGTAGTACATAGATGAGTAGCTGCTTTCCGCCAAAAACTATGACCCAAGCCAGACATAGTGGCACATGTCTGTCATCCCAGTGACTTTGGGGATTGAGGCAAGATCATGAGTGTGAGGTGAAATTAGTGGGCTTCCCCAACTTAATAATGCAAGTCTGTCTCAAAAACTCTGGTTTTGTGGTCCTGGGACCCACTCACATTTTACCCTCACTTTCAAAAAGTAAAACCAAACCCATGACACAGATAAGTATCAGAAAGATGTCATGAGTAAAAAGCAGCTTAATTTGGGAAGTGCTTTTGGAGTCTTTTTCTTTATTTTCCTTTTGTTTTTGTTTTAAACAAAAATAAACACTTAAGAGAAAGAAAGCTGAGAAACCTCCAGTGGAGGGTTAGGTGTACAGTGGAAGATAACAAGATCTTCAGGAGGGGAAAGCATCTAGGGAGAGGAATGACCGCAGCATTGGGAGAGCAAGCTTACTTCGTCTCCTCCCCCAGAACGCCTCCCCGTCCCTCCCACTCTGAGATCATGCTTCACTCTCCATCTCACAAGTGTGCGAGCATAGTGCGTAACCTGCCACTTCCACGCCACATAACCCTTGCTGCACTGAAGGAGCCTCCGCCCTAGCACAGCGGATGTCTGCCGCCCGGGTTGTAACTGCCCCAGAGCCCACAACATTCTGCCCTTCGACCCGAGTCCCATCACAGCTGCCGCCATCCCTTTCTGTTCTTGTTGCCTTTCACGTGTAACTACCGAGACCACACTGCTTAGTCCCTGTTTCTTAGGAAGTATTGCCTCAGATCAAAAAGGAACTCCAAGTGTTCTCTCTGTCCCTCCCCTCTTCTCTCTCTCTTTCTCTGTCTGTCTGTCTGTCTGTCATTCGCTCGCTGTGTTCCCAGAGATACAATAGTTGTTATCCAAGAAAACATTAGTAGAGATGTTGAGCTCCCATTTTATTTTGTTGAGCTAGGAATTCGTCAGTCATGTAACTGTAATGCACGAACCGTCCTAGCTCGAAGTTCCCACCTTTCTTAGTCCACAGCATGAATAGAGGCATGCAAGAGACTGAAGAAATGTGACGTCAGCAGGCTGTGGATGCAGGAACAACATTCCTTTAAGGAGGAATAAGGGGTAGAACACCTACAGAAAACAAACTCTGTAGGTCGCTAAATACTTCATCTAGAATACAAAGAAATGTAACACTAAAATGTAACACTAAAATTTCACCTCTTTCCTGATATGTGCTTGAGATGTTTGATTATAGCATGAAACATAACCAGTTTATCCTTAAATGCTTTCAAAGACATCAGAAAGCATTTCAGAGTCATTCTTTCCATTGAAATGAGTTCTGCAGATAAACATTTCCCCTATGCATTCTTGTCCAACCCTCTAAAAAAATTATGGCTAACATCTATGCTTGCTTTTATTTTTTGTTTGTTTGTTTTGTTTTGCTTCTTGACTTGGAGTAGATGAATAACAAGATGCTTTTCCCTCCTCTAGAACATATCCTCCCCTGAGAGTTCCCCTGCGCATAGGCCCGAGTCCCTGTCACCCGAGGTAGTTATCACACCATCTCAATCACACTTGGAGGCTGAGAGTGAGTGTGCATGAGTGTGTTCCTGAGTGTGTGGGGAGGGCCAGGGGTCTGAATGAATGGGGGAAGGGCTGGAGGGCGGCCAATCAGTCCCCACGAGTTGAATGAATCTTCCTGTCCATGGAGATGGAGGGAAATGAAGGAGCTGTGTGTGTGACGGGAACGGTTTTGTTGTGTGGGGTGGGTTCCTTTAGAGATCAGAATCTAGAGGTTAAGTTTAAATGATGCTGAATGTGTGATAGGACAGTTAATAAGTAAGGACTTTCATAAAGTTAATTAATGAGGTCTGTTTGTTAACGAATGAGGAAAGTTGAATTGAAAATTAGTAAGAACTGTCTTTTTGTATTTATGATCTTGGGCAGCTTACATGGGAAGAGTTGGATAATGATTTATACTTTGTTCCAAGGTTAATCTGACAGTTCTGCTTCACCATCTATTTGGGCTTTTCTTCAGAGAGTGGCTTCTTTCGGAAAGTTTTCTGCCTCGCTGCTTTCCTACATTTTCTTTTTCGCTCCTTCTGGAGTGTACAAAAAGCCAAATCAGTCTGTGATTTCTGTGTCACAGGCCTCCATTCTGCACTTTGGGACAGTTAATGTATAAATGTTAGCTCTTTGGATATTAATTGAGTGCTTTTCTCAGAAACTGATGTTACAAAGATGCTGAATTTAAATTTTAGTGCAAAAGATTTTATTGTAAAATTTGAACAAATAGTCATTACCTATGAGTGTACATGAAACCATTTTTTCTTTAAAAGTTAGTAGTCTCTCATGACCTTCCAAAAGTTAGCTGAACTTTAACCTCACCCGTTTCCAGTAAAAATTAACCCTGTGAGAGTTAACTCTGTGAGAGTTAACCAAATTCTGAATCAGTAACATTTATACTTAAATATGAAATGGAAAACAGTTTCATTCTCCAAGTGTATGAGAGACTTTTTTAGGCATCTTAATGCTTGCTGTCTTGTTAGGAAAATACAGCCTCCTCTCTCCTCACTTCTTAAAGAGTGTAAGACAGCATAATTTGGAGACTGACAGGGCATGCATGGCACTTGGGTTTCTGGTACCATTCCTAATAGGGAAGCTGTAATGACCGAATGGTTGAAAAGCCTTGGTGTTAGGAGCAGATAATATGTGGGGTTTATCTTGGTACGTTTCAGCATCTCCCATGTTCTGCAATAATGGGTATTAGTGTCTTGTGTTATGTGGATGTGTATTAGAGGTTAAAGAAAGGAGCATGACACACACCTACATAACAGTGAGAATGCATGAAGACCTGGTCAGTGACTGTTTTGATGCCATTCTCCTTACTGAGCCAGCAGCTTAAACACTTGCCTTTCCCTCTGCCTTCTGCTGTCCCCCCCCCCATCAGTATTAATTTAGAAATGAATAACACCAGAAGCTAGGTGTCCTAAGATGTCTCTGTGGAATGGACAGGGCTTAGGTAAATCCCTGGTGGTACTGCCAGTCCTTAACCTGTATGCTGACTCCACGAAGCAGATGAAAGGCTAAGCAGGCAAAATAGTCACGTTGAGCCAATTACCTACTCCGACTTTCCCAGGATTCCCATCTGGAAAGACAGCGTGTTGGGGGAGCTGAGACCTTAGCAGGCTAGCCTGTGTAAACGTGCTCTGCGGGTTTTCACGGATGCTGACGTGCTCTCCCCTCTGCTTCTCTCCCTGCTGTCCTCCCTTGTGCATCCCTGCCCTCTCTCCTTCCTTTCCACCCTCTGACTGTTTCCTTTCCCCGCCCCATGTCTCTGTTGGTTTGTATTCTTTCAGCTTTGTCACCGAAAAGACCTGGACTTGACCAAAGTAGGCTCTCTCGATTCCAACACTAACAGCTGTGCCGACAGACCTTCCCTGCTCCACTCGGGTCCTTCGGACCTGGCTCCGCATCCCTCCGGTGGGCCTGCCTCAGAGACTGCATTCACAAGCAGGAGTGGGGACGGACACCAGCCCCTCCTGAGAAACTCGGACCAGGCGTTTCGGACAGAGTTCAACTTGATGTATGCCTACTCCCCTTTAAACGCTATGCCTCGAGCAGATGGATTGTATAGAGGGTCTCCCCTCGTGGGGGACAGGAAACCCTTACATTTGGACGGAGGATATTGTTCCCCTGCTGAAGGGTTTCCCAGCAGATATGAACATGGCTTTATGAAAGAGCTCTCTCGTGGATCCCTGTCACCTGGTGGTGAAAGGACCTGTGAAGGAGTCCCGTCTGCCCCCCAGAACCCCCCACAGAGGAAAAAGGTAAGTGCTTCATGTGTCGTAGGCCCACTTGTTAAGAATGTTGACCGAATAATTTAGTATTACTAAGTTTCATCTGTGTACTTAGTTCTGTCCTTAGATAAGTAAGAGCTGATCTCTGGCAGGCCCAGTGTGAGAGTGTTTAATACAATTTGTTGACTATTATAACTATCCAGTAAGGCTGGGGATATGAATTAATAACTAGAGCACTTGCCTAGTTTATGTAAGGGCCTGAGTTTGATTCCCTAGCACCACAGGACCAATCTCTAGCAAATTTAAATACCTACTGCATGCCATACATCTGCTAGGCAAGAAGCTATTGGCTGGAAAAGTGAGAATATGATTGCTTACATTATTTGGCATTTCCTAAGTTTAGGCACTGTTGAGCTCTTCAGATACATCTTATCCTTATCATAATCCTGTAAGATAATTTCTCATTTTGAGATGAGGAAACAAAGTCAAGTTAAATATTTTTCTATTCAAAGAGGCCTTAGCTAATAGGGGGAAAAAGATAATTTGGAGTAAGAGCGGTGGGTTTATTGGAAACAATGAAAACTGTGACAGCTTTTATAACTGATGTGTTCACAGGGTGTCACAACACCCAGAAGGTACACTTGGGCAGGGGCCTGTGATGGGCAGTCAAGAACCAACAAGGAAGGCTGGGTGTGTGGAGGGGAGGTTAAAAAGTTTCCAGATACCTACAGGTTTTCTAGAGCTGACTTGCTAAAGTGTACACTGTAAATAATGTCTTCTCCTGTGGCACTAGTTTCCCTGTGTGTAACAAACAGTACTGAATCCCTGTTTATATCTGTAAAAATTCAGCATATTGAAAAACCCTGGCAAAGAGATTTTTTTCTTCCCCTCTTTTCCCTTTTCTCTTGTCCTCTCTTCTCCTCTCCTTTTTGTTGTGTGATTTGGTTTGGTTTTGGAGATTTTTTAAAACTACACACAAGCTTTCCTATTTCCTCTCCGTCTTCTAGGTGTGCCCATTGTTGGAAATAGTTATGATAGCATGATTCTGTGATTAAATAATGGTAATTTCAGGTTTTTTCGAAGGAAGAAAAAAATTGCTGTCTACTTGATGAACAGTGTACTTCAACAATGTCATCTCCTAGAATATTTTTTCCCCTTACCAATTTTTGACTGGCTTAATTGTCTAGCTGCCCAGATAGCTGTCACACCTGGACAACAGTTGCCAGGTTTGCTGCCTGCCTTGCTTGTGTGCTTCACTCCTCATTACCAGGGTGTCAGCCTCTCTTCTTTCCCCATTGCTAGGGATCCACTCATGATACCCAGCCACAGTACATTTGATTTTCCTTCTTAGGTATCCCTGCTAGAGTACCGGAAACGAAAGCAGGAAGCCAAGGAGAATTCTGCCAGTGGGGGAGCTGACTTGGCACAGCACAAAAGCAAGTCTTCAGGGGCCGGGCAAGGCAGCAGCGACACTGCTTCTGATGCCAGTGCCCATGGCACTCAAGGATCCTCAGCCCGAACCCCATCATCCCCTCACACAAAATTCTCCCCATCTCATTCTTCTCTGTCCCATCTGGAGGCAGTAAGCCCATCAGACTCCAGAGGCACTTCTTCATCTCACTGCAGACCTCAAGAGAGTATCAGCAGCAGGTGGTAAGTTTGTATTTGGCATTTTATTGTGACATTCAGAAAGGTAGTATATATCTAGTACCATCCCAATATTGCCTAAAATGTATGGGGACACTTGTCTTAGAGAGCCAGCCCGTAGTGCTGTCTCTCCTAGTTAGCCTGTTCAGTAGTATCGGCCACATTCTCCAGTCTTGCATAAGCAAAGAGTTAATGTGGAACAGCATTTTATAAGGTATATATATTTATGGATGCCCTTGAGCTGTTTCATTCGGTTGGCACTAACACTACCTCTTGTATTTTCTCGGTTCACTTGACAGGCAAGTCAGGAATTCAACTAAATTCTGTTTGAATTAATAGATGTCTCATCACGTGCAGCCAGCATACACAGAACAGTAAGACATTCTGAAAGGAATTATATGGTTTAGAGAAGACCAGTGAAATACACAATCAGAAATCTAGGAAAGAAAAGATGACACATGATTTTATCATTGGGGCTGGGGATTTAGCTCAGCGGCATAAGCACCTGCCTTGCAAGTAGGCGGTCGTGAGTTAGATCCCTGGTGCCGATTTAAAAAAAAAAAAGATGATTTTATCATTAATCTGATAAACTACTCCTTATATGCCAGGCAGATAATTTCACAGAAGAAAAATAGTTTCAAAATAAATTTTAAAAGTTGACATTTTTAGTATACTTTCTCCTTTTGTTTTTATCTTCAAAGGTATTTTTTCTAAAAAAAAAATTTTTTTTCTTTTGTATGTGACAGTTTGAAAAAAGAGTGTATGGTTTGTTTTAAATAAATCCCACTCCCTTAGACATTTGAGGGTGTTTTTAAGATAATATTCCATATGTTACATCCTTTCTCAGGATTTATTTCAGACTTTTGATTGACTTAAGGCCTGTGGCTTAAAATTGTGCCCTGTTAACTTTTGCAGGATGGTTCCCACATCAGTGGAGCGACTCCGAGAAGGAGGGAGCATTCCTAAAGTCCTCCGGAGCAGTGTGAGAGTGGCCCAAAAAGGGGAGCCCTCTCCCACATGGGAGAGTAACATCACAGAGAAAGACTCAGGTGAGCCCCTGGCCTTCTGCTGTCAGCCAGATTCAGGGACTTGTGAGCTGGTCTCTACATGACTTACACCAAAAGCTGGGATGAGGTGAGTCAGTTGCTGGTGCACTTTGGACTCTGCCACTTGCTAAGTTCCAGCCCAGTCTTGGTCTTTTGGCTACAGTATAATATCTAGCATTGCTTGCTCTCTTGTCTGCTCTTTTTTCCCAAGGAATATCTTTCTGTAACTCTCTAAAGTCCTGGATCTCCACTTCGATGAAGGAGAAGAGAAGGAGACAGGAGTCAGATCAGGCATTTAGCACACAGCCCATAGCGAAACACCCCGTGGCCCTTCAGGCATGCTGCACTCACTGAGTTTGTCACAAGGAGAGCAACATGGGTGGTGACTGAAATGAACAGACAGGTTGACTTTATGATACTTTCCAGATCCTACAGATGGAGAAGGTCCAGACACACTGAGCTCAGCACTCTCCAAAGGAGCAACCGTTTACAGCCCTTCCAGATACAGCTACCAGGTGAGTCAGGACACTGCTGATCTCTGGGCATCGGAGTGTGTAAGTTCCAGATGTTTGTGATCCTGGCCATTTTATGCACTTGGGCTGCTGGCATTGCATATAATTTCCCATCCCTGGAAGTAAGTCATGATGTCCTCGCCCTCAGGTATAAATCCTAGCAGAAAAGGAAGCAGTATGGTGGAGACAGCTTCTTAATGCCTTTGGTATCGGGGGAAAGAAAAAGTCAAAGAAACATGAAGGGGGCAAGTTGGAGATTGTGGATATTTTCAAGCCCTTGAAGGAACTTGTTTACTTCCTTATGTTTTCCTCCCCCACTCTAGCTCCTGCAGTGTGATAGTCCAAGGACAGAGTCACAAAGCCTCCTTCAGCAGAATTCCTCCCCCTTTAGAGTACATCCCACTCAGTCTCCAGGATACAGTTATCGAACTACTGCACTGAGACCTGGAAACCCCCCCTCCCACAGCTCTTCAGAATCATCCCTGTCTTCAGCATCCTATCCCAGCCCTGCCCACCCTGCGACCACAGACTCCTTGGCCCCATTTACGGGGACACCAGGGTATTACAGCAGCCAGCCACATTCTGGAAACAGCACTGGCAGCAATCTTCCAAGGAGGAGCTGTCATTCTAGTGCTGCTAGCCCTACTCGGCAGGGCCCTTCGGACTCGCCAACCTCAGACTCAGTTTCTCAGTCCAGCACAGGAACTTTGGGTTCCACCTCCTTTCCTCAGAACTCTAGGTCGTCATTGCCGTCAGACTTACGGACTATCAGTCTGCCCAGTGCTGGGCAGTCAGCTGCCTACCAGGCCTCCAGGGTATCTGCGGTTTCCAATTCACAGCACTACCCACACCGCGGGAGTGGGAGTATGCACCAGTACCGTCTCCAGCCACTGCAAGGCTCAGGAGTCAAGACTCAGACAGGACTCTCCTAGGGCTTCTGGATATGGGCAGCCTGAACTGAACGGGCCCATAGCTGCTTCCCTCCAGCTGCCTCTGGAACCTCGGCGAGCATACTGCTGGGGAGGGGCTACAAGGCACCAGAGGATTGGGTCTGGTCGACAAGAAACAAGACTTGTGGTCGTGACTGGCCTCTGGCCTTGGAGAAAGATGTAAAACTTGTCTGAAGCAAAGACTATAAAGAAGTTTCTCCCTGCTGTTAAGGGTACCTTATTGACAAGCAAATGGTGTTTCAGTTAGTAACGGTTCTAAGTGCAATGAGTTGTGTTGAAGCCTCTGTCTCCCATCCTTGCCTGTAGCCAGTAGTCACTTGTGCAGTGAAGACATCTTTTTAAATTTTAAAGAAGTTTTTATTTCAGAGGAAAAAAGTGAGAAAAGCCAATCTCAAAGCCCCAAGGCATCCAAGTAGTGTTAGGGTTTTATGCACTTAAGGAAAAAAATGGTAGGTATGTAAGTGTTCATCCTAAAAGAACCATTCCAAAAGCAGATGTCTGGCTAAGGTGTGTCCACCCAGAGTACTCCTTACCTTTGTCTTAAAATCACCAGGAAATAGGCAGGGATATTAAAGCTTGGAGCTTGCTCTGACTGAGGGGTACGTGGCTCTCCGAAAAAGAGCTCATGGTCAGCTCTTCATTACTTGGGAGCAGATTACCTGAGATTAACCCCCAGATGTTAACATCCCATTCCTCCTTCCCACACTGTTTCACAGATTCCAAACCCTCGGAGTAAGTAGACCAAGTGGAGTGAAAAGTGATTCCCAGTGAAGTCAGTTACACCTTTTGGCAACAGATTTGACAAGGAAGGATCTCAAGTGGTCTGGGAATTGCTAGATTATCTTTCCTACTCCCAGTTAATCAGGAGTTGGATCCCATGAGTAGAACCGCCTCCATGATTGGGGAGCACATACTGGTGACTGCAGGGTAAGGGTGGAAGGTAGGTTTGTGGAGTGGCACCGACAAGACTGTGATTGTGCGTGGGCTTGCCCCACTTTTCTTTGGGGGGTGCTTATGTGAGAGTGGGCCAGTGAGAGAATTAGCAAGCCACCCACACCCTAACACTGTTCTGGATGAGAGACGAGCAGACTGGCTTCTCCCCATCAGTGCATTGTGCCTGTTGTACACCCCTGGAGGTGCCCTGGAGCAAGCCCAGGCGGGGTACACAATCTTTTTAAATTCCATATGATTGCCAGCTTATTTCTTTCACTTGTTTACTGTAATATCTGGTGTGTTTTTATTTATCTAATTTTGTATTCAGTTATAACCATGGTAGGGTAGTAGTACAGGACAGGTGTAATCCCGGTGCTGCAGTGGACCTGACTTCTTTTCTTTTGGACGAGATAATACTGTGAGTCTCCCTCCTTCTGATTTGTTCCTTTTCTCCAGCCTCTTGTGCCCCTTTCTTTTCAACCTGTCCTACAACTATCATATGCACAGTCTTCTCTCTTCGTGTGTGACTGTTACAAAATTTCACTTTTCAAAATTGAAAATCAGGTGTTTGCTCAAATGAGGAGAGGTTTTGTTTTGTTTTGTTCTGTTTTTTGTTTTGTTTTGAAAGCTGAGACCTCAGCAGAGTACTCTTTTTATTTCCTCCACAAGCCCATCAGTCTGGGAGAGCATTGGGAGCGGAAATCATGTTGCCTGGGATGCCGGTTTCTTTGTATATTATATAAAACGTATGTAAATGTCTCTCCATTTGGGCTGGGGTTTGCATTCTCCCCTTGGATGTTAACCAAGGGGTGAGGCCAGCGGGCAGGCGGCCCTCACCCTGCCTGACACGCGCAGAGACCCCAGCCACTCTGTGTGGGCAGGGTGCTGTCAAGACCAGACCTCCTGGGGGGTGGGGGGGCTCTTGGAAGGAAAGAAGCGTCACTTCTTTCTCAAGTGGAGTGTTTACACCTTGCTGTAACATTTGAACTTTCACAAGAGATGTAATAATTTTGATAATAAAATTCTTAACCATGATAATCATAAAGTTGAAAATGTTTTTGTTCCATTCTATGAGCTTTACCCCTTTCCTACAAGGTGAATCCCTGTCCTGTTCGGGAATATACTTCCTTTCTCTTTCTCTTTCTTTTTTTTTTTTTTTTCCTTTTCTTTCTTTGGAGACAGGACCTTGCTGTGTTGTTGGGACTGGCCTTGAACTCACTGTAATCTGCAATCTGCCTGACTCAGGAAGATGTGCTCATAGTGGAGTTCTTTTCCCCATCATTAGGCAACAGGGTAAGGATATTGATAAATCTTCCTCAGACCTTCTACAGTTGAGGTCAGGCCATTGTTATGGCCAAATCTGGATCGCTGAAACTGACTTTTAGAACCTGACTTGAACTGCAGTGGATTCCTGGCGTTGGACTCAAATTTATTCACACAGTTGCTAACTAGCCTTTTTCTTTGCAACTTGAAAACAGCTCTAGCTGTTTGGGGCTGTCAGCTTATTGTGATGATAAAATTGGAGTGTAGAAGCCAAGGTCTCTTCTGTTCTGGAACTTATATTCTAATCAGTAGAGAATTAAACAAGTGCTTAATTTCAGTGTTCAATATTGTTTTGAATCTTCACCAATACGACGCCCAAAGTGAAGAAATTCTTGCCCCTCCCAAAGACAAAGGCGGAGGCTTCAAACATGAAGAAGGTGGTGCTGAAGGGCATGCCCAGCCACAAAACGTGGAACCCCGTCTCAACTCCATGGCTCCAGAGACAGCTCTGACATCCTGGCAAGAACACTTGGGAGAAACACACGCGTTCACTTGTTCAGGAATCGTCGCGTTCCCGCCTGCTGAGCAGGCAGTGAATAAGAGAACAGATGACACACTTGGGTTCATTTAGGTGTCGAAGCCGAGAATCACCAGTTCAGTCAAGCTGTGAAGAAGCCTTATGACAGTGTGCTCCAGGTCAGTGCCTAGACCAGGCTTGACGAACTGAAGGAGAGGGAAGGCATGGGTATTCAGCTGGCTCCAGAGAAATTGGAATTGTCCAAACTGAATCCAACTTGCTAATTCTAAGTCAACGTTAATTCCATCCTAAAAAAATATATCATTGAGGGGCTGGGCTTTAGCTCAGCAGCACAAGCCGCCTGCCTGGCAAGAGCAAGGTCATGAGTTCAATCCCTAGTACAAAAAAAACAATGTTGACAGTGTGCTTGACTAGCAGGGACAAGGTCTTGAGTTTGATTCCCAGAACACTTTCCCCTAAAATACTGTTTCATAATGACTAAATGAAAGGCTGCTCTAGATTGGCTGGCTAAGGAAAGTTTCTAAAGAGTTACATTGAAGCTGAGCTCTGAATCAGGAATAGAGTCATGGGGTGATAGGAGTGAAGATCATCTCTGAACAGATAAGGATGTGCGAAGTCAGAAGGAACTTGGTTGAGATGTTCCAGAGAGGGGATAGAAGACCCGGTAGGGAGGGCTGGGGATTTAGCTCAGCGGCATAAGAGCCTGCTTGGCACCAAAAAAAAAAAATACCCAGTAGGAGAGCAAGACTCAGCAGACTGCTGTTTGAGGTGAGTGTGTGTGTGTCTCTCTGAGACAAGGTTTTGCTATGCAGTTCAGGCTGGCCTGGAAGTGCTCCTGCCTCAGCCACCCAAGGGCTAGGGTTACAGGCGTGAGCCACCACACCCAGCTGAGTCAGCAGGCTGCAGTTCCTGGCCAGTAGACTGTAGTTTCTTTGTCCTTAATGAAGAGCCTTGTAGATTTTCCCCCCTGCGGTGCTGGGGGTTGAACCCAGGGCCTTGTGCATGCAAGGTACGAACTCTACCACTGAGCCACATCCCCCAGGTTAGATTTAAATCCTTAGAGAATTTCAAACAAAATGAATTATGTAATTTATGGTGCAGGTTGCTTAGGGTTTTTGTTTGTTCTTGTTCTGTTTCATTTTCATGTTTTTCCTCTTTTTTTTTAACACTACTGAGCATTTTTATTTGTCTGGAGGAGATGAATAGAAGAAGTTGGGAAATCAAATGTGGAAGGATTAGCAGTGATACAATGGCAAATTCTACTAAGCTGGTAAGAATGGGGCTGAGTAGTTGAAATCAGGATACAGTGTGCAGTGCATAGGAGGACTCACGAACAGAATGTGTTGAAATGTTACTGTGAACCTAGCATAGACACTATTTTGTGGGGTATGTACGGGATTTAAAAATGACTGCTAGTTTTTTTTAAGAAGTTTAGCAAGTAATTGATTCATAGGGCATTTTAGGGGGGATACATGCTCTAGGAATACCTATATAACCTACCAATAACCACAACCTAATTTTACTAGGGTAAAAGGAAAATTGTGTAGGCCTATTTACAAAACAGCTTCATATTCATTGTCTTATTTTGTCCCAGCACTCAGGAGGCTAAGGCAGGAAGATAAAAACCTGTCTCAAAAAAACCTTGTGCACTGCAAAATACAAGCCACAGGCTGGGAAAATGTATAAAAGGCTGTTACTCTGAGATATACAAACAACTCTTTAAACTCAATAGTAAGAAAACTGGATACAAAACCACTTTGGTCTACATTCCTAGCAACATGGGAAACCGAACCGCAAGTGAGGATCACAAATTTAAGGCTAGCCTGGGCAACTTAGGAAGACATTGTCTCAAAAAGACAGATTGTCCTAGGTTCCATCCCCCAGTGACACAAAAGAAGAGACTGAAAAGAAGGGCAAGCTGCCTGTGCCAGCATTCAGGATGCCAAGGCAGGGGCTTAGACTTTAAGGCCAGCCTAGGTTACACAGTCAAAGCAAGTTCAAGACCAGCTTGAAACATAACAAAACCTTGTCTTAAAAACGAAAGGCTAGCAAGTCAGCATACGAAAAGATGTTCCTTATTGTGCCAGTTAAAGCAATGAGTGAGTGCCATTCACCTACTAAAATAGCCAAAATGCAAAACTGACAAAACCTTAGGTTGTAGACAGCAAAAATATTTCTGTTACAAATGTAGAACCAACTCAAAACTCAGTTGCATTTCCATTTTTTAAGTTTTTATTTTTGTTTTTGGGTACGGGAGATCAAACTTAGCAACCTTGTGCTTGCCAGACATGTGCTTGTGCCACTGAGCTAAAACCCTGGCGCTCTATTTTTTTTTCAGTTGCATTTCTGTAGACTAACAAAACTATTCAAAAAATTAAGAAAATTTTTCTTACAGTGACTTGGGAGAAACAAAAACTTGGAAATTAATGAATGAGGTGAAAAATCTGCACTTTATAAAACATTAGAGAAATTGACACAGCTACTAATTAGGTGACCCATATTCATGGACTAGGACAATCAGCACTGTCAAAATGTCCTTACTACTCGAAAGTCTATAGATTTATTTTTTTAAGTCTACAGATTTAATACACTCCTTATCAAAATTTCAATGTTTTCATTGAAATGACTACTAAATGCATATGAAACTAAAAAGCACTCAATACATGAAGTAAACTAGGGCAGCAAGAATAAAGCTAGAAACAGCAAACTCTTAGTTTCAGATTATTTGAAGACCATAATAATCATAACGGTATAGTACTAAAAAAAAAAAAAAAAAAGACGTGTTATTGGAGGACCCAGAGATAAACCTGCACGTGTGAGGTGACTCCATCTTTATCAAAGGCTTCAAAATTGCATGTTGGGGAATGGCTACTCTTCAAAACACGGTATGAGGAAAACAGCATCTACACACAAAATGTTGGGAGCCGCGTCTGTGATAGCTCGCCTTGCGCGGCGGACGTGCGGCCTGTGGTAAAGAGCAAAGCCTGAGGTAGATTACCCCTCCCATCGAATATGTTAGTTTCCTGCTTACCGCGTAAACAACCCGCTCAACAATATAGTCTGCCTGGCAACTGATGATGTTAGCCAATCAGCTTGCCTTGCTTACTTTAACATGATTGGACACTGTACCCGTATATATACCGGTGCCACCCCTGGGCGGAAGAAGAAGCCAGGTAGAAGCCCAGAAGTAAAAGCCCAAAAGGAGCCGCGGAGAGCGGACCGGTAGAGGCTTTGGGGCAGACTGAAGCACAAAAGGAGCCGCGGGGAGCGGACCAGAGGAGGCTTCAGCTGGGAGAACCCAGGGCAGGCTGTACGGAGAAGGAAAATAAAAAGAAAAGGTTGTCCACTACCAGACTTTGTCGTGTGTCCTTCCTGCCGGCCGGGAGCGGACATCGACATTTGGAGGCCCGCCCGGGGACTGATCACCCCCGAGACGTGGAAGTGGACAACGCTCCAGTACAGAGCTGCGAGACAGGTGAGTTGGGGATAAGCCTGGGCTCTGGGTGGCGCGCACCTACAGGGCTTTTAGACTCCCCTCAGGCTCACGCGTAAGTGGCGGATTCCTTGGGCCTCACGCGGTGAGTAACATATTAAAAGATGGGAAACATGTTAGGTAGCAACACTAAGAGCGAGGGTAGTTGTGGAGAAAGCTCTCAAGAGCTTACAAAAGTACGCAGGGTATCTGAGCAGGCCCAGTCAGGGAGCTCCCGAGAGGGGTCCGTCAAGGGGAACAAAGATGCTAAGGAGAAGGACGGGGCTCTAGCCTCGGAGTCGTCTGACTCCGAGGACGAGGGAAAGTTGAATGGCAAGGAGGCCAAAGAGACCAGCTGTCAGGAGCCTAAATCGCTCAATAAGGAGTCGCAGGGTTCTTTTCCAGCGTTGCCCCGCGAATTGCACTCTGCTCAACCTGGTCTGCGGAGGAGTAGAGAGCTCCTGAGCGCTCCCCGGCGCGAGAGGGAGGCGATTCCTCGCCACGAGGCGGCCGCCTGGGAGCTCTCTCCCCTTTCGCCAGAACAGGAAGTGATGCACGGGCCCCCATTTTCCGCCCAATCACGGCCGCTGTCTTATGCTCCGCCGCCGGCGGGTCGGTATTTTTACAGGCGGCTTTGGCAGGGGGGACGCTTGTCTCATGAGGTACATCCACCTGGGATAGATAGTGGCCCCTACGGGATATTTCCTGTACAAGTAGCTATGGGCCAGGGACGCAATGTATGGGAGCCTTTTGAGATAAAGCAGATTAGAGA